TTCCTGAATCTCAGGGTGGTAGTCGAAATAGGCACCTATGCAAATGTAAAGCATCAGAGCATCGATCCTTCATATCACAACGTACCAATCTGTCTCCCGAAGAAAGGAGTATCGCGAAGGGCGTCTGCGGCGCAGTGAATAGCAAGGAAGTTGCCGCCGAGATTGAAATAATTCTGTAGAGCGACCTTTCCGGTATCATCAAGAACTGGTGTAGAGCCATTAGTTTCCATCTCACTGGTCGTTCAATATCGACTGTACCAATGCCGGAGTTGTTCAAGAACAAGATGGCATCATACTGAGATAAGTTTTCATCTGTGAACTTTGACTTGTCCTCCGTGAAGTCGAACTTTACGTCGAGGGCGGATTCCTTGGCTTTGAGAGCCTCGATAGAAGCCTCGATGCTGTCGTGTCTGAATCCAGCTGTAGCGGAATAGGCGAGTATGCGAGGAGGCATTGTGGTGGTGTTCAAGTTTAGTTAGCTAGGGCGTGGAAACATATATATGCATTATGGCTTTATGCCCTTGTGATTGAAACATCCCAGAGAAGATAATACTTATTTTGCTGCAGCGATGAGCATGGTGACACATTTGTTTCTTCTGCAGGAATATAAGTACAACGTGAGAGATGAATCTGCCAGGCTGCCTCGGGCCGCATGACAGGGCGTAACGCGGGTAGTGTTGTGGGAGAACTATTTTAAAGCAGTTCTGCCAGGTGGCAGATTCAAGGGAAAATCTTGATGGTGACGCGCTCCAAGTGTGTCACTAGTACATTGATATGAGACTCCTCGTCAAGATCCCAAAGTTGCCAAACAAGCTGAGCTGAGCTGTGCTAAAAAAATTCAGAAACTCCGCTCCTTCCAAGAACGGGCCGGCGCTGCTTGTCAACATCTAGTCAACTCAATGCTGATATCTTCAAGTCGAATCTATACCCCCTTCTTGTTATATCTCTAGTGATCTGACTGTCTGATGGCACGGAGTATCCTGTGATTTTCAAAGACTGATGACATGCACCAGGACCGACACTTGTCCTCCAGTCCTTCAGAAAGGAGATTTGCTATGATGTGCTGTTGACTGGGCCGTTGCAGGGTATGGTACAGTTTATCCCCTCGCAGGCAGCTCGAGCAAACCTTGGTATGTTTAGCCCTTATTTCACCCCATGCACTCGACAATGATATATGATATATGATACCCGATGATCAATTGGTTGCAATTGGTTTGCATCGCACCTCAGGTCAGAATTCCTGTGCGCCATCATTTCCTTTGAGGCTGTGCACTGCACCGGGCTATGTCAGCTGTGTCGTTCGCCTGTATCCAAAATTGATAGTTTGCTGATGCAGTGCTGTGCCCCACTACATCAACTACTTGCACCGTCCAACTTGAGTCTAACATCGGCACTCTATCGTGATTTCTTTCTTTGTAATCAGCGTTCTTGAAGCACATTCGGGCGTAAGCATTCCTTCTCCCCTTCCTCCCAATTTATTCAAGTTAATTTTTGCGACTTGCAACATATGATATAGTCCAAGTGCCTGATACATCTCCATTAGATGTCTGCGTACTCAGGCCTCAGGCCTGTACACTTGCACATGACTCGGCTGCATAACAGGTCTTTGCCCTGTTTGACTCGGATGCATTACTATGACACTAAGCGAGTCATATAGTCAGCTGTCGCGAAGTATCTGGTAGCATTTTGACAAATCATCTGATGACGCGTAACGTCGGCGACTGAGGATACTACTACTCTGAACGCCGCGTCATTACCATAGTGCCCGTCCCGATCGGCCTCACCCCTGTCTTATAACAACCTGCTTCTCTCGAGATGCTGATCCAAATCCTCAGAATTCGAACCAACTAATCCTCCTGCCAGTGTTAGTGTTATCCATGAATACTACTCATCCCCCCGTGCTAGTTGTAAGTGACAACCTATGACACATGTTTACATCTCAGCTGAATTCCTTGTTAGGTTGGCGCTGGGCCAGCGGGTCTGGTAGCAGCGTTGACGCTCCTCCAAAACGGTATCTCAGTTCGCATCATCGATAAAGACCCCAACCCTCGCATCGGACAGCGTGGTGCTGGAATATGGGTTTGTGCCACATCCACTTGTCATATCTCCCTGTGGTCTCATTGAATGCATTCTCTATGTATATTGTAGCCGCGCTCCCTCGAACTCTACAACTTCCTGGGTATTTCAGAAGTCAATAGTCTGGGAACACCAGCCCCTGTCATGCGTGGATACAAGCCCGGGACGTTGGAAGTTCTGAAAGACTCATTGATGGTCCCGCATATCGAACCTACTCCAGCAATACCATTCGTGCGCAACACCGTCGCCTGATCAAACCTTCATGCTGATTCGGTTTCTAGTATGTTCCCAAATTAATGGGTCAACAGCTCCTAGATGTGATTCTGCGACGCCATCTAGAAAAGTTCTCTTGTTCCGTCGAGATGGGCACCGAACTCCGCTCGTTCGAGCAGTCCGATGAGGGCGTCACTGCTGTTCTAGCAAAGAATGGCATATCAGAGACTTTTGATACCAAGTGGATCATCGGCGCTGATGGTGCTAAAGGTGAGACGCAACTAAATCTATTGGAATGCACGAGACTGAAAGTGGCTTTGCAGGCATCGTGCGCAAGCAACTTGGCCTCACATTTTTGGGCGAGACTAGAGACGATACTCGGATTGTGACCGGAGATATCCGCTTGACGGGCGTCGGCCTCGATAGACTGGTACGTCCTGTTTTCTACATATTTCATGGAAAGCTGTCCTAATGTAGTCTTGAAGCATTGGCACCGATTTGGAAACTGGAATGAACGAGGGTATGTTCAGTTGAGGCTTGGAGACATGTATATTGACGATATGCAGCCTCTCATTGCGTCCAACAGACGAAGTTGGCGATGACGGCTGGCAATTTTTCCTCTTTGGTCATGAACTAGATTTGGCGAAGATTGCTGAGAGCGAAAAGCTCGTTTTCGAGACTATTGCATTGTTGATACCAACGGAGATTTCATTCAACAAGGTGGTTTGGATGAGCGACTTCCGGTGCGTTTTGTGTTCTTGACTGTGTTGATGCATGTTGATCGGTTTGTTCCAGTGCTAATATCCGAATGGTGAATAAGTTTAGCGAGGGGCGAGTTTTCGTTGCAGGCGGTATGTGGTTCTGTTCCAAATGCGTATGGCTGTACTCACACATGTCATCGTAGATGCTGCTCAGTATGTCTCTTTTGAATGCCTTCATTCCAAACTGCCGCTAACATATATCCAAGCGTCCACAGCCCAACGGGTGGTCAGGTATGGTTGATCCAACTGTTGCTAATATTTGCTCATTTGTCTATGAACAGGGACTCAATTCAGGCGTACAAGATGCAGTGAGTCGGGTAGATGCAGCATGCGTGTTACAACTGACCGCGCCCTACACCAGTTCAATCTAGGATGGAAGCTTGCGCTCGTCCAGAAAGGGCTCGCGAACAAATCTCTTCTCGAGACATACAGCGCCGAGCGTCTGCCTGTGATCTCCGAGATGCTCGGCGTGACCACCTCGATTCTTAACAAGGCAATAGCGTCTGGCGATGCGTCGAGCGGACGAACTCCCATCCTTTTCATGCTCGGCATCAATTGCCGATTCAGCACTATCGTACTCGATGAATTTGTGACCTCGGCCGAGGGGAAGCCTATCAACGCTTACGGAGTGCTTGACGAGGGGCATCTGGAGGCCGGGGACAGGGCGCCTGATGCGCCCAATATGCTGCAGGTGGGGCGCGCAGTGCCTGACGCGACGACGCTTTTTAGTTTGTACAGACCTTGGTACCACACAATCCTTGTATTTGCGCCGAGTCTCGCTGATGCTACCCCGGTCTTGGGTGCACTGGAGACATACGACAAGAGTGTCGTACGATCGGCAGTCGCTCTGCCATCATCGGCATCGGTAACGTCTGTCGCATCTCCTGCTGATCTCGTTCTCGTTGATCAGGAGGGCCATGCTTATTCGGCTTACCTCGTGGAAGCTGGTCAGACGAAGGTGTTTGTGATACGGCCAGACGGAGTGATTGGGGCGATAGTTCATGGTACGGAAGGCGTGAAGAAGTATTTCTCAAAAATATTTGTGGACACTTAGTGGCCCGAATATTCATTCTTTAGCTTACGACTTTTAGAAGAACAGCTTATTCCTGTATACCTCATACAACGTAGTGTATCATATTGGTCACTGAAAATGAGAAAATGAAAGTGATGTGACGGAGAACCACACAGTAATATGTACTAAAATTTTGTGCGAGTTCCATCGCGTTCTTCAAACTACGACGTAGACAGGTTGACTATCAGTTGATCCTCATCATACATCAAAAGTTCACCGAATTATATTGGTAGCAGAATAGTCATCGACCGGTCCCTGGACATCGGGAAGACGAGATTCTTGCTGGCACAGGATATATCTGAGAAACATCCTCAAGCCAGCTGTGGTGTCAAGGAACTAAGAAAAATTATTGGTCGCTTTGGGGACTTTCGAGTCTTTGAAATATACGGAGCTAAAGGGTCAGATAAAACGGCGGTCATATGACTTGAAGTATGTGCAATCTACAATATTGAAGACGACAGGCTTGTGTGTGATCCAGCGTCTTCTTGCTGATGCAGATTCTTGTACATTATGGATCGATACATCTGGTGACTTCCCTACAGAGAAGATCATTCGGCTAGTGCGACATTTTGATGTAGCGGCGTTTATCTCGTGGTGAAAATCTAACGAAAGAAGTATTATTAGCATCAGGTATCTGATAAAGTGTTAGAGAGGTTGCAGGAATCCCCTTCGATGCAGTGCACCATGTCCTGTTCATTCCCTGCAAACTTGTTCGAGGTCCCAGATCTCGAAGTGTCGCGATTCAGGCCTCAGGTTCAAAGAAACTACATATACATAGATGAACTTCTCACCCAAGACTTAAAGCTCAAGGTCGGAGTATGAACGTTTGAACTCGTGTTCAACACTCAAACTTGAAATCGTTCCGCCGCCGCCACTGTTTTGCGTATGGCAGTCTTTGAGTTTCCTCTGCGGTTATTCTATGGACCGCTGATTCTCTGCACAGTCGTATCTGCACGTCCTATCTCAATTATCCTTCAGCGAGACTCATATGGCATTAATTCATCGACGTCAACCCCCGAACCGCTGATTACTGCATGTCTTGTTTCCTTCATAGTTTTGTTGGTTCTTCTTGCTGTGAAGCTTCTCTATATGAAACACCGTCGGCATAGTGTCATCCGTTCTCGAATTCTACAGTCGACTTCCCCTCACGATGTTTCACTGAACTCTCGTTCTTCTCTACTTTCTCTCAAAGCCGCTCAACTGAAGGCATTTCGCTCCAAATGCACACCATTTCTTGCGATCTTCGTCGGATGTTTCGGGTCTCCTGCATGGGAGACTGACATCGAATCCGACTTCAACGCGAACTCGACGAAGCAACGCCGAACTGCATCGTTCATGTATCAACTACATCGGCAGTCCAAGCAGCATTCTTCAAAATCATATTCTGCGGCTCATCGTTCGAGCAAGAGTTCGACTTCTCAGGCACCTCTGTCCCAGGCGCAGCTTTCGCGTTCCATGTCTTTCTTTAGTTTTTCCAGCGAGCATAGTACAGAAGACGCGACAAAGAAATCCAGATCCCATCTTTTACCTAGTACCCGAGCCCTCACATATCCTGCCAAAGCACGGTCGAGAATGACTGCCACTATCGCTCCCCAGAGATATTCACTATTCGTCGATAGCTCAATGTCTGGACAGCTCGGCGACTTCTGCGAGAAATGCGATACCAGTCGTAGCAGTTTCCGGTCTCGTAACTTGTATCAAAGTGGTTGGACGACCTCCGGTGTCGATCTTGGCCCATCTCTGAGGCTTGTTGGGGCCTCAGACGTGACTGCTGTCCCGTACTCGTTCTTATCTGCATTTCCGCCTTCTTTTTATGCTTTATCGCCCCTAACTGGCACTCGCGACTCTCTGCAGCTTTCTAGGCGTCATTCAACAAAATCAATTCGGAAACCTGTCCCTCCTCTCCCGCCATTAACATCTCACAGTCTTTTCAGCCAACAGCCATCATGTATATCTTTGGTCGAGTTACCTGCATCGCTGCCTCCCCCTGCAAGCGTTTCTCGATTGTTGCCTCTTCTCGAGTATCCTGCACCTACCAGCATATGGAACGTTCCTGCCATCACCGATCAGGCGCCCGCCCACTTGTCAAATAATACTCCCCTGTCGCCTAGTAATTCTTCAAAACTCGAGACTAGTCCTCTCGTCTCTCCGAACACTGCTAATTCTGTTAGTACGGTCAAATCGCTTCCTCGTGTCTTGCATACCGCGGATCCCCTTGTATTTGCTGTTCAAAAGATGAAGCGAAAAACGAAGCACAAGCGCTCATCCACTATTAGGTCACGTAGCAGAATCGTGCCCAGTGCATCACCTCTACGCATCATGGCGCTCCCAGAGGATATACCAGACCGTAAGTCTGTTGGAGACACACCTACCAGCGACAAGGAAAATTGTGCTACCGATGTTCCCACGAGCAAGGCTATCGACGATGGCCGAATTCACCGCTTGATGACAGATGCCTCAAATCGGCTTTCTCCAATCCCAGACCAGACTTCTAGCCCAGATGCACAATTCGAGCTACGCTGTCTAAGCCAACCCCTTGATAGAGCATCCTCCGCCAGTTCTGTCAAATCCACAAAGAGCCTGGCCCATTCTGATATCGAGGGATCTTTTAGCGAGGTGTCATCATTGCAAACTCCCAAGTCTGATCGCCTGGAGGTAGACATTGGCATGCTGGGGCTCGATCGTTTCCACTGGTCTGAAGAAAGCGAAGAAATGCTCAAGTCGTGCTCTTCTCACATCAAGAACGATAGCGTGGCGTTGATTTCTCTCTGGGAAGAGGGACAGTGGATGCGAGAGAATAATCAGTGGTGAGAATTATACTTTTCGATGCGTTCAAGACTGATGCGATACAGTTCAGACGTTGTTGGAACAGCCTGGTAGACGTCGGATGAGTGAATTATCGTATTAATAAAGTTTTTTTGGTATCGTGTATTGTATTATCTCGGTTTGTCTCATCACCGTATATGTAGATCAGAATGTCTTGTATGGAAGCTTTCATTAGCAGTAATAACATCGCGGCTCTCCAACTATTGGCTCTGGAACTCGTACTTGTATCTGCGTTACAGCTGGTTGCGACACTAATATTGACACTGACCATTCAAAATTCTCGCGCGCCCGTGATCGAAACATGAAACGAGATGTGATGAAATTTAAAAGTGCCAACGTCGACCAATACGTAGGACGATGCTAAGTCCATTGTGAGACCGCCAGTCACATAACGATGACTCAGTGGGCCCAGCGTTAACATTTCAACACAGACCTCATACCTGGCATCAATAAATACTAATGGTCCATTCCAACCGCGACGATCCAGGGATCCTTTCAAATGTTTTCAGTTTTGTCTCGCGAGAGATTGGCGAGTTCATGATAAATGCTACCGGTCAATCAGGCTCCTTCCCCCCATCTCCACGTCATACCAGCCGTTCAAGAGGCAGAAAAGTCCGCCCTCGTCCTCAAGATGATACGCCCCTCCCTTCGTCACACTCAGGAACGACATACCCCCAACTACACAAAAAACCCTCCATCACAATGCCTGGTTCACTTTTCCCCCGATCAGATTCGCCCCAGCCCGATTCCGTACTGCGTACTCCTCAATCAACTCTCGACGTCGACGCACAAGACTTGGAACCCGGCCCTTCTCCCTGGCGCACTCGTCCCATCGCCTCCGTCCATGACGCAGTTCAACGATTTACCGCGAGTGGAGGGGAAGAAAGGGACTTTTCGCTGTTGGTTGTCAGTAGTCCTACGGGTCCTGTAGATCCGGAGAGCTCAGGCGCCGTACTAGAAACGCCGCATCTGCCCCTGGGTGGTGTTTCGCAGAAGGGGAAAGAACACGCTGTTGATGATGGAGACGAGGATTTAGCATTTATACTCGATCATCACCCCGTGCAAGATAAGGTAAAACAGGATAGGGACAAGGAACGCATTAGAATGTTGGAGGAAGAAGTCAGGATGTTGAAGGAAGAGGTACGTTGTGTCGCACTATTTAGTTCTCTTTTTCGTATGTGCTGACATTTTCTATTACAGCTCTCCCGTCGCCGCCGTTCGCCAACTCCTCAAATCATTCACACCCAAGCCCCAATACCACCTCCACCCCCACCCCCACCACTTCCACCTCCTCCCGGCGTCCGCATTCCCCTCCCTCCTTCTCTAGGCGAAAGCAAGGCCCTTTTCGCAAGTGCGCGCGCTGCCTTACGCCCAACCGACGCCGGTACGACTGGGAGCACAAATGATCTGGCGAGGTCAGCAAGCGGCAAGGTGAGACAACCAACCGTCAACGTTCCTAGCGATAAAATGGCCGCGTTCCTGAATGAGATGAGGACGGTGCGGTTGAGGAAAGTGGGGTCTGCACCTGGACCTGGGCCTGAGGGACTGAGTAGGAGCGTTAGTGATCGACCTGGGCCCAGTGGATTAAGCCGTAGTGTGAGTTCGAGTGCTGCTGGAGTGGACGGGCGGAGAGAGAATGTGACGAGGCGTAAGTCGACGGGCGTGAAAGCGCCTGTTGGTTCAGCCGCTTCCGGTCTCGCTTCTGCGTCGACTAGCTCGTCGAGAACAGCTTCTTTTTCCAACGTGAGTAAAGCAGCATCGACCTCAAAACTCCCTTCCACCTCGAGCATTCCCAGCCCGAAATCTGCTCCAACCGCGTCGAAACCATCATCCTCACACACTTACCCGGCCCCCTCATCGCACGCAACCCGCCCAGCCTTAAATAACAAACGCAAAGCAGATGTCCTAGGCAACTCAGAAGGGAGATCTACTTCCAAACGACGTCCAGGTACTTGTGCGCAAGCTCAATCAGACACGAGCTCTTCATCGTCATACTCAAGAACACACGAATTTGCCGGTTCCACACACTCAAATTTCTCACTCACAGGCCCATCACATACGAACCACTCCTCACTATCGAACGAAACAGACATCACCACTCCCTCTTTATGCTCTGATAACGAGCTTGGAGGGGACGCGGATGGTAGGATGCCGTCGACGCCGCCTGGACCAAGGTCTGCTGCAGCTACAGTTCAGAACGCGCATGATGATGTTATAGAGATCATTGACGTGGATATGGAAGACAAGAATGTTGATATCGAGCCTGCACATAATCATGTCACGCCCTCCCACCCACAAAGCGATTTGTTCAGGAAACGTCCGCCGATGTCGCCGTTGCCTGTACTAACGCCAACGAGGGCGCGAGCGCCTGCGCGTGCCAAGGGGAGGAAGTCTGTGCCGACGCCTGAGAGGACAAAGAGGGGCGCGACGCCGAAGCCGAAGAGTATCATGCTGCTCGACGAGGATGACGACGACGACCAGGATGAACCGGATGAGCTGGCGTTACCCCCGAAGTTGGAATGGCGGCGCGAGGTTCAGCCCAGAGTCGCAAATAATTCGACCGCGGCTAATAGCAAGGGCAAACGACGACTGACGTTAGACGAAGAGCTTGCGCGGGCAAGGTCGTCTGATCGGCTTGTGGAGCTTGGATTAGAAAGTGGGGAACTGTTTGGGACGGGCACTGGGAACAAACGACGGGGATTCTTAGCTGGGGGTGGTGCGGGTGGTGCGCCTGTGTTTATGGGCGCAGGGTATGTTCGGGGTGTCGAGGAGGATGGACTGGACCTGCCAGTGTCGAGGATACCGCGGCGAAGAGGCTAGCATGTTTCAAAATATTTATTGTAATCTTTATCGCATTCCCTTGACTCTCTTGTAATTTCTTGTATAGCTAGCTGTGTGGAAACCCGCCGTAACGACAGTACTAGTGGCGAGAATCACTAGAACTATTCGGACAGCCAGGCTCCTACACTACAGGGTCCGCAATACCCCAGCGGCTTGATGCTTTATTTCATGTTTCCGCTGTTGATGGCATGGAGGAACCGCGGCGCACTGCACGTTTTTTTCTGATGGCTTGATGTTACTCTTCGAACTTTCATGGCGCGCCTGACGAAGTATAGGATTCATAGTCAGACAGGCAAAAATACGTATTAGAATGTGATAATAAACAGAATTGCAAAATAAAGGCAGAACAATAAGACATACAGGGAACAAGTGAGGCTCGCTGTCGATGACCCGGCAAATTCTCGTCCACCAGTGCAGCGCTAGTGAGTGATAAGAATAACAAGTTCCAAGGAAACCTGGTGTAAGCACGCTGGCTTACTAGAGTTCCCATAATCTATATCAATACTGTCTGCGATACTGAAACATAAGCTTTCAGTATCACTGCCTTTTGGTGTAACGGTTGAGCGGACGACAGTCTTGGCCAGTGTTGCACCTGGCAGCTGTGGCCCTGTGGCGAGCGCCAGTGTCATTCGGCTCATCACAAAGCGTTCAAACCAGTACTTGCGGCAGTGCCTATAGAAATAGGGTAAGTGCACACTGCAGGATGAGCGTTTGGAACGTTTGTGCCTGGCCACGTGCCGCCGTCAAACGTCAGTACTTCAGTGTCCGCTAGTAGAAGGTTCAAACCGTACTACGACACCTCACCGCACATGCCGCACATCATGCATCATGTGGGGATCTGTCCGGTCCTCGTTTCACATCATAACTAATGGAACGGGGATTTGAGCTAGAGGATAACTTTTATTTGATGCTATGCCTTCAGTCCACGGTTCCGGCTCGGAGTGCATTCTTAAATTTAAACCTGCATCAATTCTCAGTTGAAATATTCACTTCCTTGTTTCTCCATTGAATGGATTCAAAGTACTCTACAGACGCTATCGCAGCCGCTAGGAGTCTCCAAGTCTTTACGGTAATTCTTTCTCTGGGCAATCTAAACAACCTCTGATGCAAGGCAATTATTTCTAGTACATTTATAGTATGTGCTCCCTCGTTTGACTCAGATCGCCTTCTGCTAACGTAGATGATGATCCAGCGTCGATGGCTACATTCTGGGTACAATCATCATCACCCTTCTTGCTCGAATATTCGTCTTGACCATTCGATTCCTACCCAGACATACGACTATGCCTGTACAATCCATGAGGAGGTGACACAATTAACTTCAAAATCAATATCGTATGCTCATCGTGTACTGTTTCAAGCGGATGTTTTTGTTTTGTTCTCCCTGGAGGAGGGTCAAACTTCTGTACATTGTGACACGCTATGTCCCTTTCCTTCTTTTTGCTGCGCACTTGTACCGTACGTCCTGAGCCTGAATGGATATAAAACTCTATTGACAGACTGTTGCCAGTGAACTTCCTCCCAGACGAGACTTCTGATGTATGTAGACTCGCAATGGACAAGAGCTCTGCTTATTTGAGGGTTAACCTAGACATGTCAATTTGTCAACAACATCTGCTCATGTGCATCGAATTATATTTCGGGATATTTAGTTACTGACCTTTCTCCTTTCCTACAGGTTTCAGCCTTGTATCGATCGTCTGCTCGGAATGTAATTTCTCTATTATCTGTATTGCGAGTGCAAATTTTTGATTTCTCTAGTTTTCTTCATATTCAGGACGTACGTGCTATGGGATAACAATAAGGTCGTTCTGGTAGCCATGCTATCGACTTTTGCAGTGAGTTGTGTGCAGTGGTTGTCGTGGCTTGCTCATACGAACGCAGTATCAGACCATGGTTGCGGGGTCTATTGCTGCCATCTTTTCTGCGACCGCGACCGCGCCATGTATGAATTCGCCTGATTGGCAATTTTTGACTGAGTCTTCATTTCGCAGTCGAGACCAGCTCAATTCCGGGCATCACTGGTTGTTATCAGTCCTCGGGAAGCATGATGCTTTTTGTACCTTATCTTCTTTTGTTCGGATTAGAACTGAGTGCGTCATTGAAAATTGATACATAAAAACACCCTCTGATTCACGCCGATGCAGTGCTTATCTCCCTCACGCTCACATGCGCCATACAAAAGTGGCGTATTACTAACAACGGTCTGTATGGTATTATATTGAAACACAATGTGTTCTATTATGCATGTGGTTTGGGTAAGTACGAGAGCGGAATGACGATTCATCGTTACTCATCGTTTCCACAGTTTTCTCGATGGTGAATATTCTGACATCGCTGCTCCTCGACGTGCGTCATCTGACTATTGAAACATTTTATTTACTTGAATATTTGATACAGTACGCGTATAGTGGCATGCTTCTAGAGTGCGTTTCTGTCAAATTGTTCTGGAAAGCCACACTTACAACTCAAATCGTGTGCGTGTAGTTTCCAATGCGTTGTTCACGCCATACTCGCCACTCGAATGTACCTCCATTTGTGGCATGTCAACCGTAATGGCAATCCTAGTGTCTTCACCTCAATTAATCTCTCCGACCTGACACCCACGACCTATGTTGAGTCTTCCTAACTAGATCAGCTTTCATTCCTTGGAAGTGGGTTAGAAAGAAGGATTGACTCCAGCAATTTTTGACAGCGGGATTGGATGATTGCTTGTGATTAGAAGCATGCAAGCATTGAATTTCCATTCGTTCGATGATCCATCAATGTTGTAAATTGGCTGTAGATTGTCAATTTATGTATCATGTCGTATGCTTCTTACTTAGTTTTGAAAGGGACGTTGGTTATTGGCTGGATGCGAAATCTTATGGCTCTTCATAAAACAATCGAAAACAATCGATCGAACGGCGAGAATTGGCATTATCATCGAAAGAGTCGAGGTTGTCTATGACCTTGACCGACTCTATCGTTGATAATAGCCAACCTAACTGATGGATTTTCCAAGTTCAAGACACTTATCTAGCTTGGTTCAGATCAGATTTTTGACGCTACCCTGGCTAATCGCATGCACTCCAGGTTATGATAGTATGCAGACAGAACGTCCATAGACAAAATCGGTACGCAGAGGATGAAGATTTAACAAGTATTCAATTCGCGGCACCTTCCCATAGCAATAATGTACAAATTTCAGTCTTACGTGTCCTGAAGAACAAACATTTTTTCCTAGTAATCACTTTCAAACAGATTCGACGTGACGCTCTGCGGAAGCCGTGGAGATATCGATACTGAGAAGGCTCTGAAAAACACACGACATCAAGGTGAACTACCCCGTGGAAAATGTGCCGCACCTTTCCTCCCTTGAGCTCGGCAGGGGATGGCATGAGTCCAAGTCTCAAGAGCTCAGATGCTTTACTGACGACCGGGTCATTTTGCATGCTATCGTCGCAAGCCTTGTAGCACATGACATGTAATTCAGAGAGGAAATGTCTTACCTAGATACAGCAACAACTTCGCCGCGATGGACATAGTATGCAATGAACTTGAGATAAGTAAGCAGACCGTGGAGTCAGAGTTTTCCGCACACATTACTTTACCTTCATTTCGTCGGTGTTGCCATGTATAATAATATCATCATAATCAGCTCCAAGACCACAGTAACGAAGTTGCTGTCCCTCTGACGGAACGTGGTCAGCGATATCCCTGATTCAATTTCCAAAACGCACGGGCGCTCCAAAAAACTGGCACTTTCGCAAACGGCTGTGGATTACCCGCAATCGTCTTACCAACAGCACGGCCATGGTTACCTGCAACCTGTGAACAATAAAGATGAGCGCTGGAATTCTGCAGTCCTGCGAGAGTGAGTATTTGCTGACGTTCCAGTGTTCTATCCTACGACTCTCTCCCGTATTTTGCTGTGGGTACCAAGCGATATCTCCTGGATCAAAGGTCAGCACGGGGAACGGTACACTAAGCAACCAAGCCTACCGACTGCATAAACGTTATCTTGCCCTGGAACTTTCAAGTATTGGTCAACCTTGATTCCGCCGTCCTTCTCGAGCTGGAAGCCGCTTTGCTTCAAGAATTCGGTCGCTGGAGCCACGCCGACTCCCATGATGATGAAGTCGGCGGGAAGAGTCTGTCCGTTGACAACAACACCAGCAGCCAGCGAAGGGTCGCTCTCCGATGGTATTATCTTCTCGACCTGTGTCCCCAGGTGAAACTTGACACCTTGAGATTCGTGATACTATGATATAGAAAAATTGAAGTTGAGGCCAACAGGAATCAAAGAATCAACGTCCCAACCTTCTGAAGGCTTTGGCCCACTTCTTTGCCCAGCAAATTCTGGAAAGGGTGCTCCTCCATGCCGATGACATCGATGGACGCAAGTCCCCGCTTGGCGACGGCAACAACGAGTTCCATGCCGATGAAGGAACTTCCAATAACAACCATTCGCTTTCCTTCTTGAGCCGCTAGAAAATTTCAAGATAATTGAGAAGGCTTCATAAGCGTCGATGAACCAATATTACCTGCATCAACGCATTTCGAATCCTCGATGCTACGGAATGTGTATACATTCCCGAGGTCTGATCCAGAAATAGGTAATCGACGAGGAGTACCCCCCATAGCGAGAATCAGAGTTTCGTAGGATATAGATTCCTTTCCTCCATCAAAGACAACAAGTTTGGAAGATGTATCCACAGAGGTTACAGTCTTAATGGCAGTTCAGGATATGAATTCTTCGGCAAGATAAATACCCACGACGCCAGTACGGAGGGTGGTACCATACTTGATCTTGAGGTCAGCGGCCGTCCTCCATTCAAGTTTTGACGAATCTGTGATCAAAGCTTTGCTTAACTTTGTTCTGTGGACATGTGTCAACAATGATTATTGGTTTCCCAAATCTCATACCGGTCAATCGGGGGATGTTTCTCTTGGGAAAGGATTGTGATATTTCCAGAATAACCATGCTGTGAGGTGGTTAGAACCAATGTTGGGGGCATCAAGCAACTGTTTGTACCTCTCTAAGACTCTCTATGGCGTGGAATGTAGCGGATCCTCCACCGATAATGACAACGCTTTTGCCTGATCCAGCGACGCCAGTCGATAGGAGCTTGGGCGAACGACTCATGTTGCTCTTGAGGGTCAGCGAGGGATCAGCGGTCACGTTGATCTTGCCGTCCACTACTCTCGCCTTGAAAGAGTGTATTGCAGTAGGAGCTGGTGCGTCCTCTGGATAGTAATTTAGGCTCATTACAACGAGACCCCACTCGGAGAAAGCACAGACCAATGTCGCCGGTGCAAATACTGAAGCAAGCTATTACGCTGTGAGCCTCAGGCATGGTGCGCATACATCCGCGTGAACTTACCTCCGTGCCAAGGACTATCATGAACTTAGACTTAGTGATATAAGAGTTACAGAGGTGGAAAGGCGTACCAGACGACCCTACCATCCGCAGTTAGCACGCCCTTGGCTAGGGGCGCGCCATAATGAGTACAAAAGGCACTAGTTGCATGAATGGTATCGTTCAGACGATACAACACCACCTTTCCCACTTCCTCGAAGTCCACTTGTTTCCTGAGGAGTTGAAATCATAACAATCGTGTAAACTTCCAATTCCCTGACATACATTTGACCATCCTGTAGCTCAGATTCATCGCAAACTGCGATCGTCTTCAAGGACATTATGAAAGGTCGGAGTCGTGTCTGAAGTCGAGTTGATATGAAAAAATTGAAATGTCGGCGAAGGAGCATGTAAAGAGCAGGCCGGTCACATTCTATGACCTATCGAGTTCAAGCAACACAGGAATTTTCCGAAAAAGGTTACTACTTCCAAACACAGGAATTACAGGGGCACTAACTACTAGTCTGCAGCTTGTGAGTCACTAGAGTAACTAATAGCCACGTTAACGTTTGCATGATGTTATTCTGATTAGCGACCTGTACGTGTGTTATGTAATCAAATCGGTAGCGTCGAAAACACGGAGGAGCTGCGGACAGCGAGAGCGACATGTCTGAATCACTGAATCAAGCGTCACACCTACAGGGTTCAGAAGGCTTTCACACACCTAGCGCTCGCGTCTATATTTCGTACGACCCTGCGAATCCGCCATCCCATCCAGGGGCAAATTGGACTCGTTTCGTGTGCATCAGCGACACTCATTCTCATACTTTCAGTGTCCCCTCTGGGGATGTCCTGCTTCACTCTGGTGATCTCAGTCGGCTAGGTAGGGAAGACGAGATCCGTGTTACGATAGAGTGGTTGCGTAGTTTGGACCATGGCGTCAAAATGTATACCGCACACTTCCTTATTGCGTAGGCCAGCAGTCTAACTACACACAGCATCATAGCAGGAAACCATGACCTACCTCTTCACGAGGAGTGGTACGAGGACAGTTACTACGCTTTCCACGACAAGAAGGAGGTATGGCTATCTTACTCAGTTAGCGGAAACCGCTTATTTACGCGCATATATAGTCATCAACCGCGATCAAAAATCTTGTCGACAGTGATGCAAATCGCGATCGAGGCCTAATTTATTTGCAGGACGAACAATATACTTTCAGCACTAAGGAAGGCGGAAGGGAGTGGTCTGTGTATGGCTCTCCGGCAAGTCGCTATGCTTCGCAACCCACCTGACGCTTTACGATTTACCTCCTCATAATGAAGTGGCAACCCTATTTCGGCGGCTGGGCTTTCAATTACTTGCCTGAGGAAGCCTATGGTACGGTTATATCTTCTAATTCTCTTCTCAAAGGCACTCATTTTGGACAAGATCGTGTTTCCGCAATACCTGAGGTCGACATTCTGTAATTGACCACATTATGTCATGTAGTCCAAATCGTGCTAAACTTAATTTCTAGTCTCACTCATGGACCTCCGCATAACATCCTAGATAAAACCTTTACCAATGTCAATGCTGGATGCCCTGCACTACTCGCCCACCTTTCCAAAATGCGGGGGCCTCCGCTTCTCCACGTCTTCGGTCATATACACGAAGTAAGATTTTGAAATCTATTTACACAGAAGAGTCTCATGCAGGCTCGTATAGGCACGTGGCGCCGTGCGCCATTCCTGGTTGCAGGCGGAGGAAGACCAATGTTTTTCTGATTCAGAATGCTCACCCGCTCTGGGAACGAGAGAGACGATAATGGTGAACGCAGCTAACCTGCCTCTCGGGCGTCAGGCGATTAGACCCGGACCTGGTGGCCAAAGGATCCCATGCGGTGGTCTGGGCTTTCAACCTGTCATTGTTGACCTATTAGATTCGGCTACGCGGCTAGAAATGTAAACGACTACGATATTCCCCCTGTAATATGATGATACACATGTAAGAGAGTTCGTTATAGACGGCCTATGCGACATACGACCTCGATAACCTAGGAGATTCGATGGCATTTATGATACTGGCACAAGTAGTGACAAGGCGAGGGAAAAGGGAAGAGCATTGCCAAGTGGTATCAAATCAGCGGTAACCAGTAAACGCAGAACACGGATTATCACCTACCTCGTACGGCACCGACAATCTGCAATTTTGGCGGGAAATGATACAACAACCCTCCGGGCACCCTGGACCCGTTATTTTTCGAACCAGTGCGGGAAACTCAAAAACGATTGCGATCCAAAATGTATGTCAACGCGTTCAACTTCATGTACCCTAAGTCGGGTCCAGGAACAAGCTGAGCTCCCTCGTACTAATGATACAAGATGCGAGAGTCCTAAGCGATCACAATGGCAATCCAATGTTGACATGAACGCTCTGGTAAACATTCGTTTTGCAAAAGAGAAAGCGGGAGTCTGGAAACCTCAACAGGAACCAAGTCAGACGCACGGACATGATGTGCACATACGGCACACGCGCCTCTTTTCTGGTTAGCAGGCGACATCCGCTCTTGCCATTCGGCAATGATGCGCATCTTATCGGCCATCGTACAAATCATTGGAAACTGCATGTCATCTTCAGCAGGAACATGAGTGGCACGTGCACGATGATGCACGGCAAGATCCTGTTCACGAGTAGCGAGATGTCGGATGTCAGGCATAGTGGCCAAAGATGAGGCCTTCACAAGAGCACGTGTCTGCTCGCTTGACTGTGTAAAAGGCTCAGGGAGAACTTCAGGAGCCAAGCGACGTCTTGCATGGAGCAAATGCTTGAAGACAAAGGATAATCCACTACATTGGACAGTACACAAATGGACAGGAAGTAAATCGCGAACATAATCCCGCGTATTAGAAGCCTTGACTGACACCGAATGAGAACAAGCCAAATCATCAAAATGAGCGCAAGTCATCATGGGGAAATGGTCAATCAAGTGACGCAGGGTAGGAGCGGACACCGACAAAGATACTCCAGCTGGATACTGCTGAGACGCGGTAAACCGCTCTCGAGATACTCCGCGATACTCGAACAAACGTCGAAGCAAGAAAGTAGAGACGACCGACACCCCATCATCATCCAGTTGCACATCTGAAACAACAAGAGAAGCAGGAGGCACAAGTGAGCGCGAGGTAACGACGGCAGGAGACGAGGATGCTGCCATAGCACAAGGTGGTGGCAAAAAAAATGAGCGAAGGACCCAGAGAACAGGAGGCGAAAAAATAAGGAGGCGCGGGAAAATACAGCCCCTTCACAGAACGGACCGCAAGCGGGCCGGGATCGATCGTGAGACAGACAAAAAAAATCGTTATACCTGTACCCTAAGATACAATAGCCCTCCGGGCATGCCTGGACCCGTTATTTCATGTATCTTCAAGCAAAACAAAAACGGTATTTAATTGGGGGTAAGCGAGGGAGTCCGTCTGTATAGAACTCCAAGTCAATTTTTGGTGGCACCCTAGCACACCTCCATCCACCACTTGTCTTAGACCTGTCCAAAGGCGACACGCCCATCGATCACTGTAGCTTGAACTTTGGTGCTTAAAATTTGATTGACAGGAATAGCCATGATGTCTTGTGATAACACCACATAGTCTGCCCGTTTTCCTGGAACAAGAGAACTCAGGCTGTCTTCGGTAAATGAAGCATATGCGGCATCGATCGTCATGCCTATTGATTGTTTTCAATATCAGTGACGCTCATATCTGAGTACTCTCGTAAAGTACCTCTCAAGGCTTCCATGTGAGTCAGCCGTTGTTGCGAAACATACATGAGTTGAATGGAGAATTTTTGGACGAGAAAGCCATACCATCCCGATGGGCCATTGGGTGATTGTCTTTCAGGAGACAGTCTCGTAATGGCTGCATGGAACCCAGCGAGCGGATTCATGTCTTCCACCGAGAAGTCAGAGCCAATGGCGAATCGAGAGCCGTGGTCAAGTAAGGAGCGGAAGGCATATGACCCCTTTACTCGCTCAGGACCCTGGAAAACGATGAACATGCCAGTAGTAGGTATGATTGCCATGAACTCACAAGACGTTCTTCCGCAAACTACATATCGTTGATACTATTCCGCCCATATAACACATGTGAGTAGCGAACACATTCAGACAAATAGCTTAACGTACGCATGTGTGGGTTGAATGCTTGAGATAACTAAATAGCGACGATTCTACTCCCATTGACATTAAGGAAACTAAAATGCTCACCTCCAAGCTTTCCGACACGTTCCAGGTCAGTTTGTGTCAGAATCTGGGCATGTTCTAGGCGAGGTCTGAGTGCAGTTATATCGACGTCCTTCAAGGCAGCCTCGAATGTGTCTAGGACCACACCGTTGGCATTAGTGCTGCCGTGGTCCGGTTCGGTCCGGTTCAGAGGGTCCTGGACGAGAACCGAGAACCGAACCATGGTCCGGTTCTGCAAAATCGTCGAACCCAGAACCGGACCATCAAGAACCGTTCTCAACGGTCCGGTTCGGTTTTTTTGTGGTCCGAACGCGAACCGAACCGAAATTTTTTCAAGCGCAACAAAAATTGACATTGTAGATCTACTGACATCGAGTAACTAGTCTAACATAGCACTGCATGCTCCTCTGCTTCTACTGCTGCTGTCAGAAATGGGAGCCCTAAAGAGCGCTGGATGCGAATGGAGAGTTTGGAAGGTGTGGAGGTTGTCGAGGAATTCAGTTAGTGCTAGCTGCATTTTGAGAGGTCAGAAGCATAGTTGCGCGAATGGACAAGAGATAGATATTCACGGGGAGAGTGCTGTTTGTAGGGATATCCATGACAGACCGTAGCTGTGTCAGCGTTGTCTGCACATCCCTGCCCAGACCAGGGCCAAGATTTGTGACAGCAGCAGAAGGTCCGCAAGCACAGCGACAGTCACTGAGTCAGTGCAAGATTACAACCTGACAAACAATGCAAACTGACGAGGGCCTACCGCCGCAGAAAAGCACACGCAACGCAAGGCCGTCGCGCACGAGAGTTGCCTCACAACCAGCGGGCGCGCCTCTTCGATCTGAAAGGCTTTACAAATATGCGATTCCAAGCAACTCATGAGCAGAATGTGGGTCACGGGCAGGTCAGGCTCATGAAGAGCCTATGCAAGGGAAAATATGGACAACGATATCCAAAGAGATCCGTTAGAGTTGACGAGGATGGCGGCGAGCAGCAGCGGGAGATGGCAGCAAGCAGCAGAGTGAGATGGCGGTGAGCAGCAGCGTGAGATTGAGCACCAATCCCTGAGTCAGAGAGGTAGCGAGAGGATGCTGAAGGTAGCGAGAGGGCGCTGAACTTGATGAAATTGACTTGGGAGGGGGGAATAAAGTCATTAATGCTAGTTGAAAGGAATGAGTTACAGGCAAGGAAATATGGATGAGGATGCTACCGTTTGGCAATGTAGTTGGGGACATAGTCGCCAACAGCGACAGGGTCCCCGGTGGTGTTGTCAACATGTGGCGTGGATCCAGGGAAAGTAGCGCAAGGGAAAGGAAGTGCACGAGGAGAGATGGATCTGAGTGCGTGGGTGATCAATATCTGTGACATATTTGAACAAATGTCAGTGTGTGAGAGAATCAAAATTTTGATTAGTTAATACGTACCTTCAAAAAGGCTAAAGGCAGAAGAGTAGAGTGCAAATCCCGAAGTTCGGTCGACGTCGAAGTCAGAGTTGAGAAGGGTTCAGAACGGTTCGGCAAGGCCGAACCAAAATAGAACGGTTCGGCAGGACCTAGAACCGAGAACCGATTTCCGGTTCGGTTCGGGCTGACACCAGAACCGTGGACCGAACCGTCCAGAACCGGACCAAAAGTCCGGTTCGAACCGTGGTTCTGAACCGGACCGCGGCAGCACTAGTTGGCATAGTCCCAATTGCATGGATGTTCTGCCAGACAAAAACAAATGAGACGTATTGCTTTATTTTTGCGATCGCCGGCACTTACAACCTGCCATCCATCTCTTAAAATTTTGGGTACAACATCAGTCAAGACTTTGGGGTCCACACGCATGAATCCCTTCGTGTGGGGATTGTCATGATACGGCTCATGGAGCTGAGAGACATCAAGAAAAACACAAACACGGCCAAAGAGATTCTCACCGCTGCTCCAACAAAGTCATGCATAGAGTGCACAGCGGACGACGAAGACGCAGCGTTCAGAGAAGAAGAAGCCCCTCAACGAAAGGGGGCAAACAATAAGAAGCGCAAGAAATTGTGGACCGAAACAAGCAAACTGAGCGGACCGCGAGCGGGCCGGTAACGATCATTGGACAGAGGATTTTTTTCGATAGACCTGTACCCTAAGTCGGGTCCAGGAATAAGTCGTACCCGGGCCGGTGCTTCTTACATGTGTTGTACTAGGGACCGGGGCCCTGTCCTCCTGACTTTGACGGAGACTCGCCAAGATAAATCAAGCACACTTTAGACCAGCTTTTCCCTCTCTTTCCATCTGACCGCACTGACAATGAAGATTGCTATCACTGGATGCAATGGGGGCGTGGGCAGACGTGTTGTCCGTTGGGTGCTGAAGGAAGGGCACATCGCAGTCGGCGCAGACTGTGTCATTGCACATGATACCGACTTCTACAACAATCCTGCTTTCTCTTTCCACCCAGTGGACCTGAAGGACTTTGATGCGACTTTGAAGGTTTTCGAAGGTTGTGATGCAATCATCCAGTTGGCAGCTTTTCCACACCCGATGGACTTCAAGACCAAGGTGCACAACGAGTAAGAGATCCCCTCCGTCACAGTACTTCAAGTTCTTGAAGGTAGACACCCACCATCTGCAGCAATGTCGTGATCACTTGGAATGTCTTGCGTGCAGCTGCCGAGGTGACTCAAAGAACATCCTGCTGATGATATATTGACTAAATATCCTCAGTTAGGGATAAATCGTGTTGCACTGGCGTCCTCAGTCAATGTCTTGCGTGGGGTGTTCGGCACAGAGCCCGTTTTTCACTACTTTCCGATCGATGAGAATCACCCATGCGAGCCTGACGAACCTTACGGGCTTTCCAAATTGTGATTAACTCAATATTTGTCTCATTGAAGGAATAATAATAGAGCCTGACTAAATTCTGCCAGAATTTCTGAGATGCAAGCAAATACCATCGTCCGAAGATACCCATCTATGCGAGTTGCAAGCATCCGCATCCACAAGTTCGTCCCTACGCGCGCACGTGCCTATAGACAGGATTACTCCCGCGTCCGAGGTGACCTCTGGGGCTACGTCCAAATGGACTCAGCAGCAGACGCTTTCCTGCGTGCAGTGACTGTGGAAATGGACCATTGGACAGGGCACGAGACATTTTTTATTACTGCGCCTCAACTGGCTGCCGATGAGGACTGGCTAGAATTGAAGGAGAAGTACTTCCCAAATGTGCCAATAAAACCTGGCTGGGTCGAGAGTGGCACGAAAGGATTTTTCGACTGTAGTAAAGCTGAGCGATTGCTTGGCTGGGTCCACACAGACTACGCATGAACATATACTTGAATGTAGAAATACAGCAGAACTGTGTCATTTGTACTGATAACGTGTATGATAACACTCGCACGTTCCACTTCAATTGAACAGAAGAGGACGAATACCTGGACCCTCAAACCCCTTCTCGACTCTCGTCCCTTTTGGGCTGCCGCGACGCGCTGTGTATGGGCCGCTGCCTTGTACTTTGTCATAGGTTTGCTAAATCTCGATGCCTTCTCACGATCAGCTAGTTGTTCTATTCGATCCAACAAGTGAACGATGACCTTGATCCCCTGAACCTGCGCAAGAATACACTAGACAAATGCACGAATTCCGGGGAGTGGACGCACTGAAGATTCCCAGCAAGGATCAGTAGTAAGCTTCACCCACCACAGAAATATCCTTAGTCTCATTGTGCGACACACGGGTATCGCAAGTGGCAGACAATAGAAACGCAGTCAATTGAGTTGCGAGCATGATACGGACATCTGAGTTGTACTAGTGAGTATTATAATAAGATTCCCCTACTATCGTTGGGGCAGAGTTGCAAAACACCTAATACTCATAACACACCACAATACATATTCTAACCCCCCCCCCCCCCCTACTCTCGGACATGTATCATTATGATTGACCAATCCATAATCATGTAATTTTTTCGTTATTCCAAGAGACACATGTTGGTGGGTCTGGTCCATCTACAAAGATCACGACAATTCCCCCTTGCGATGGAGAACATATATCCTGTATTCAAAACGTTGTTTTGTGAGTTCAGGGATCCTGATGAATTCAAGCTTTTTTTCTACCCCTTGCCCGCCATATTCTGTCCTGAGCCTCGAGCACGAACTTCGGTGATGTCACTGTATTAATATTCAGAGTGTATGAGTGACACCAGGGAGGCATGAAGCGAGCGAGTGTAATATGGTCAGGCAGGATGCAAGAAAGTTTGTAGCTATGCAGGTGCATCAGTATGGTGCAGTTGATAAAACACGAGACTTACATATTCTTCATAATGATGCAACACCTCTCGAAGCTGCTTGCGTGATATCTCTGCTCTGTAGAGGATCTCGTCGTCCGTTCGCTTACCATCGAAGTACTGATTGATCCTGAAAATGTGTCAAAAGAACGTTAGTAAACAAAGCAAATCAAAAACTGACAGTGCAAATCGTCTCGCAATATATTCATCCTTCCCCTCCGACATAGCTGCTAACCACTTTCGCTCTAACGGACTCGCTGTTCCCGGATCGCTAATCATTGAAGGCTCCAGGGTATCCTCAGATGATCCCCAACCAACATTCTCCTCTCCTGAATCTTCTTCAGATATTTCGTCAAAGACATCTTCAGCATCCTCAAGCAGGATCGACCCCGATACGTCGTTGGGCTTGCTCTGCCCTGAGTCTATAGACCGTCTCGGGTACCGCTTAGCAGCTTTGGGCGAAAGTGACAACCAGGGAGTGTTTACTCGTGGATGCTCGTGTGCGTCACCCACACCATGATCGCCCTTGCGGCTGCTTATCCGGCGCCCGTGAAGATGGTAACTCGCTCGTCGCTCCAGCTTCCGTTCGTGTGTCTGTCTGACGTGAACCTTGAGCTCAGTAGTAGTGACTACGCGCACGTGCAGATGCAGTGTAATAAGGAGATCGCGTTTCAGCATCCAAAGCACGACTTCGTGATACAGAGATATGAGATCCTTGGACTGCACGACCGTCGCAAAAAAGTGGTTATCGGCCTGCTTGGAATTAGAATCGGAGATCGTGGCCATTAGCGTAGGGAGGGGTGAGATGGACGACTGTGGGAAATCACGTTTGAATTCAGCAGTAAGAGTAGTAAGCCTGCATTCAAATCAATCGATCACAAAATAGAAAAACTGCATTATGTACTAACGGTTTATCAAGCTTAGGAGCAATCGAAAAGATGGTCTTCAATCCATTGTGGACTGTGTCAACAATCTTGGCCCGTCGGTGGTGGACTAACCAGCGAACCGTTGGATATACCTGAGAATGTAGTTCCCAGTCAAGCAAACTCGCCATGTCTGCCAATCTGAAAACGCTGTTATCTTGGAATATCCATGGTACGAAAGTAGACTCACGATAACGTGACAGAAGCGGTTTCAAGAAACTTGATCAGACCCTCTGCCAAGCTTCTCTCCTCAGCGTGCACGTGCGACCCTCTCAAGTTCGCATACGGATCCAGTTCCTGGTCAGCATCAAGGAGAAGCAAACTCTTCCAAGGCACAAGGGCTGGCAGACGCCATCCAAAACTGAGCTCGCGGCCCCATAGCTGAGAATCGGTTTGATTCTCGAGACGACCGACGAATTTAAGTTCAGATTCCTCTTCGCTATGCAATAAGTGGTCCAAATAAGGGGGGAGCTGCAGTTCGAGGGGGAGATCGTTGAGAGTGATGTGGGCCATGCTAGATGACTTGATGGCATCATAGAGATATTTCATCGCAGTAGCAATAGATGACACTCGTTGTGCCTGCGATGCAAAGTCAGAGAAAGGCTCTCCTGGGTATGCACGTCAGCGACATGTGCTCCACGAGTGCCGGGCGCGATTAACCTTTTATCATATACTCGGTTTCTAGCGAACCAATCGCATCACACTCCAATTCTACAAAGTTTGACAGGACCTGTTCTTGGAAAAGCACAGCAGTAACAGTGAATGCAATTTGCTCGTAGATTGTGTCGAAATATCTTGCAACATTCCCCGAGGCTGATGATGACGGGTCTGGTAAATCAAACACAAGAACAAGATGAAACATGTGCAACCACGAGCTTTTGGACGTCGCTGTAGTGTGTGTGTCTCCACCAAGAGAGACTTCAGAGCTATCTTTGTCTGCTAGGTTGGATTCCCGATGTCGAGACCCGCGACCTCGTGAGCCAGGCTTGTGTTTCTCTGGCTTGAAGCGCCACATGCCGTCAGGTTCCGCGCAGACAGGGTGCCCAGCGAAGACGAGGTTATCAATGACGAGCTCAAATTTCTGGTGGCACAGGTGTCCCTGCGGACATAGCATACCAGCCAGGAATTGGGCAGTGTAGTCGAACAAAGACTGGTACTCATTCGCGATGGGGTCAATTTCCCTTCGTTCCTCGTTGCAAGGAGAATCACGGCCTGACGCCGGGATAGCGGAGCGGGAGAAAGACATGGACCCGTCGCGACTCTCAGTGGGTCTCCTCCACGCGTAGTCATCTATATCGTCTACGAAACCCTCCATGTGCGTTTCGGCTAAGTCATTTAAACTGTCTGAGCAATGTGATGCACGCCAAGGGTTGTCTAACTCAAGACCATCAACAGGTGGACGCGGACGGGAGAGTCTGGGTCTGGTATTCTCCACGGACGGTGGCCATCGATATACAACGTTTGGCCCCTTTGCTGACGAGGTTACGAGCAAAATTGCTAGGAGAGATTCAGCCATGTGACAAAAAGATTATGAAGCCCAGCTGTAAGATCAGGTATCGACTCTACAGTATAGCTCGTTTCTACATTAATGTGTACAGGAAGTAACGGACTTAAGACCGTGCGGAATTCCGGCCACTGTACGGCCGACGCTTCCTTTCCAGGTTCGATCCAAAATTTATAATCGATAAGTGTTGCTCCCGTACCAAGGTCAGCTAAGCACTATCTCATACTGCGCTCTTTCGCTTATTGTCCTCGCTATCCCGTATCTGGCGACAAGGACAAAATAAACGCAGAGAGTAACTGTTAATCATGCCGAAGGTGTGTAAATCATCATACCCTTTCGAAATCACTTTCAAGCTGATCATCTCCCTCAGAACAAAGGAAAGGTCACATCTTCTCCTATCTCTAATGTTATCTAGTGCTGGACGCCTTTTTCTTCAGGGAGGAAAGAACCGCAGACGTGGAAAGAACGAAAACGACGACGACAAGCGTGAATTGGTCTTCCGTGAAGATGGACAAGAATACGCACAAGTAACGAAGATGCTTGGTAATGGTCGTCTCGAGGCGATGTGCTTCGATGGTGAGAAGAGGCTAGCCCACATTCGTGGTAAGATGCGAAAGAAGGTCAGTATTCGTGCTGTACATTATGAGCGCTCGTTTTGAGGCCACTGTTTTAGGTGTGGATTAACCAGGGAGACATTGTACTCCTTTCTCTGCGGGACTTCCAGGATGACAAGGCAGATGTTATTGTTAAGTATACGGCTGATGAGGCGAGAAATTGTACGTAACATAATTCCTTTCATCACATGCATATAAAAATTCATTTAATCACCACAGTGAAGGCCTACGGCGAGCTGCCAGAGAATGCAAAAATCAACGAGACAGACACATTCCCCGAAGAGGATGGAGAGTGTACTTTCGAATTCGGTGACGAAGGGGAAGTCGATATCGACGATATTTAATCCTGTCTCTGTATAAGCCATGTATCCTCCTTGTTTGTAAGTGGCTGCCTATCTTGTATCACCGGTGTTGACTGGGCCGCGACTTCAGTGTATTCTGTATTGGTCATCTCAACGCATCTTGTACATTGTACTCTTGCGGACACCAGCCATAAATTGATTAGACACGATTTCAGTAGTGTACGTACTGGCAGCGTTATCAAACTGGATGTAGTCACTTCATAGTTCAACCTCATAACTTGTATTGATTCTCCTGATTGAAGACAGTGCTGTATCCTTAACATGACGTGAACACAGGTGATGAGAGTCATGAGACCACACGGCAAACCGGGTATCAATCACGGACATTACGATTTACAAATTTACCGCATCATCTGTAGAGTCTGCAAATCAGGTACACATCCCTTTTCTTTCATGAAATATTCCACAATATCCCGCGCATTTAGTTTCACCGCAACCTTGAGCATGTCGGGTGTTACTTGCGCTCGATCCTCCAATTTTTGTTCCTTCCCTTTCTGCTTCAATGCCTCTGGACCACGTTCTCGGCAGTCCACTTTTTCTACAAGCAGTCGCACAAGCGAAAGATCCTTACGGTAGATAGCGACAATGATCGGCATATTGTTTTTGCAGCGAGGGGAAGCGCCATGATCAAGGAGAAAGCGAACTAGAGGCAGGAAGCCCACCTGCACAGCTTTCGTGAGGGCGTAGCCATCATGTGAGTTGACATATGGGGGACGGATTTTCGCACAAGTGAACAAATATTTTACGAAGGGAAGCGGATGGTCTTGATCTGTCCACGAAGGTGTCTTTGCGCGGGATTTTGGGGTGAGCGAACGAAAGAGGCGTCTTGGAAGTTCCGGTATCCAGGTTAAAGGTATAATATTGCTTGATATTCGAAACAACGACTCTAATACGTCCACTGTGCAAATTGGGTACCGCAATAGTTTCGAGAGAATCAAGTTATCCCTAACTTGTGCGGCTTCGATAGAAGCGATAAGATATTGGGCGCGATAGGAGGGCGGAGATGCGCTGAATATTCCGTGGAGCGTCTTACATGTCAGAGGGAGATAGGGAGATGCAGAAAAGAGCTGTATCTCGTAGAGAAGCTGATGAATAAAAACTATTTGAGTATCGAGTAGTCTTGGTAAAACTGGGATCCACGAACCTCGACCGGAAGAGTATTTACTATTGAGATACCCCTTGTCATCATCAAGATACCAGAGGGTTGGGAAGACAACAGAAGCTAATTGGCGAGTTACCGGCAGTGCCAGTGAGGCCTAGTGAGGCCCAACTTGTGATGAAGGACTCGGAAACCGCGCAGAACCGTGTGTGCCGGATCCTTCCGGTCATCCAGGCCTCGGCCTCAGGCCTTAGCTTCAGGAACCGGCACCATGCAAGTTCGGGTGCAATTGACCCTTAATTGCTACGTATACAAGTTTCATATGATTACTGTTATTCTCTCATAAGACAGCAATTATCTTTCATACCATCCCATGTCTGACATCAAGGTTGACGGTTTCAAGGTCGCTGAAAAAGCTCATTCTTGATGCTGTCTTCGCTTACTAACTGGAAACACCCCTTCAGGCTTCAGACATTATCGTCGACCTTCACACTGCATTCGATGGCTTCACCGATGCAGAGAGACAAGCACAAGTAAAGAAAGTGCGTACCTCTAATTATAGGTCTTATTACTCGTGTAACCCAATGCTTTACAGACAAAGGGCATCTTTGAGCTCAAAATAACGAACGATGACAAGAAGGAGGCCGTATGGACGATTGATTTGAAAAAGAATGGTGTCATTCTGAAAGGACTCGCCTCGCCCAAAGCGGACGTCACACTCATCATGTCAGATGATACGTTCTCGCAGCTCGCTTCAGGCAAGGTTTGTATTATAGCGGTCCATTCAATGTGAATCACTAATTGTAACACGTGACATGATAGATGGACGGTCAGAAAGCTTTCCTCACTGGCAAACTAAAGGCAAAAGGTAATATCATGTTGGCCACAAAACTTGCCGCCGTCCTTCAGGTGAACAACTATGTGAATTGCTGTAATTAAAACCAAGACTGACTTGTTCCCTAGATGGCCAAAGCCAAGGCAAAACTGTAGAGTTGTGACTACCGCTTATATTTGTACTGTGGGCAATAAATGATTCCCAATGAAAGCCACGCATTTGTATCATGTTTATTCCGAGTCAGTGCAGTTGAACCGTGCGCATCTTCTCATCCTCCCACCATATCATTCGTCCCCACCGCGACCAGTTGAGGGAAAAAATCGGTTGAGCTCAAAACATTCCACCAAAAAGCCCACGTTGTCGACGTGGCGCGGGTTGAGTATCTGTCCGAAGAGTGGACAAGCTGTTTAATTGTTTCATAACCTAACAGCGTCATCAGTCGAATGTGTTAAAAATACTATCATTTGACTCACCTCCTCAAGTTTGTCCTTACGCTCTTGTAAGTCGAGGTGGTGCTTGACAACAGGATTCTCTCTAGCAAATTCCTCAACCTCCTTGCGGTCGAGGTCGTATATTAAACGTGAATCGATCCCTCGGGGGAGCTAAACATACACCGTCAGTACATATTTCACCATTAATCTGACAAGGTCACCTGGTCGAAGAAGTGGTCCAACAATTCGATATTGATGAACATAGTGGAGGTATGTGCAAGCTTGTCGGCGACCACATTCAGGAAGACTTCAGGACATAGCACATCACTCTCGGGGCCTGCTTTACACCGCCTTGACTTGAGTGCGGCCAGGCGAAGCTTGAGAATGGACAACCTATCACTGTACAGCATAGCATGGCGAGCTATGAATGCATCATCAGCTTGCGGTCCAACGTGCCATTGTAGAATCCTACCATCAAGAATTTGCCCTGGGGGATACCGATACGACCCAGGCTCCGACTCCTCTTGCACATCCTCTTCTCTTGCCAACCGTCTGTTTCTCCTCTCTTTTGCCTGTTCCTCTAAGCCCTGGACATAACCCAAGAGGCTACGAAGCCTTCGACCCCCGCCAACCTTCTTCCTGATCTCCTTCAACTTGCTCTCACACATCGCTAACTCCGTCTGAAATAGCTCCACTGCGCGCTCACGTCCCTGCTCCCACTCCCGCTCATCAACGTCTACCTCGTACTTGAACGGCTTAATGCAGTTCTCAACCTGGTCCGACGTCACGCCAATGCGCTCCCGCAATATCACATGCGAGAACTGCACTATCCTTTCAGCTGCTCGAGGGTGGTGTGTGAAAGGGTCTCCGGACACAATCGAATCGATAAGACCACGCAGGCCATCAGCAACGAGAAGAGTGGAGTCGCGGCCAACGCCAGACTTTGTGAGCAAGGAAGATGCCGCCTCAAGTTTATGTCGCCAATACGCCTCCACATCCTGAGGCTTCACCTTCGAGTCCGCGGCAAGCGCACCGAGCTCCGGCATCCGTTTATCTAGCCAATATAGTTGTTCCAGCACATCCATCACCTTCTCGTCCAGCATCATCTTCAGCTTCTCGCGCACTTGTGGCTTCCGGAACTGCGTAGTGAAGTCTTTGAACCGAGACTTCAGTGTGTCCACCGTTTCAGCCATGTATGACTCGGCAGTGATGCGCCGGTCATTATATTGTACTTTGAACTGGTAGGTAGCCTCTTCGAGCTCGAGCTGTACCGCATTGGTTATCCCGTGCAGCGAAGACGCCATGGAAGATTCGAGCACTTCCATCAGACGCCGCCGGAGAGTATCAGTGCCGACCATTAGCGAGGATGAGGCGCCAAAGTAATCACGGTGGTTGCCAAAGTAATCATTCTCGCTCCGTTTTGCAACGGTGCCTGCGGACTGCGACGAGAATTTATTCCCTGCTGATTTGGTAACGACGCCCACATATCCTAGGTGCAAGGGGTAGCGGTTCCCTGCAAGGATCATTGCACCCTGTTCAGGTGGCACCAAATCCATCTTCGTGATGACGCCAATTGTCCGCAGACCCAAGGGATCAACTTTTCGACTTGCTCGTAAGGCGGGAGAATTTGCCAGATCTACATCAGCTGCGCAGACCGCGAGGATGATATTGGGCTCCCGGATGTAGCGCTCACATAGACTTGCGATCTTCTCCTTAAGTGTTTCTGGCTGGTCCATGGATGATATCTGCACGTAGCCTGGTAGATCGATAAGGGTGAGGTCGGGAACGTTAGGACTGTAGATGCGGAGGTCAATGGCGTCGTTAGAGACGGCTTCGGAGGAGGGGACGGCAAGGTTGAGGTCAGTTAGGGTTTGCTGAATTTGGGCGAAGTTGGTGATCTTCCCTAGTCCAAGAGCCGGGAACTCGCCATATTCTTCGGGAGTCTTACCATCAGCCTTGGCAGGGTGTATAGACTAGAGTGAGTTCTATAGGACGGCGAGTGACCATGTTGTTGCCCCTGCATCACCATCAGCACAATCATAAGCGGTGAATATAACATCTTACTTTGGCAAAAATTCATGTCCCACAATGGCTTCTAGTAGCGAACTCTTCCCTGAGCTCTGGCTGCCAATGACGACGATGCTTGGGAGCTTCAGCGCATCGCTCTGGTCGATGCTGAGTAACATGCTTCTAATCTCAATAAGCTTCCTTGTGAGGTGCATTAGCTGATTCTGTCTCGAATCGACATTTCCGTCAGCCTCGATAGAGTCGGACGGGGAAGACATGGTTGCAGCAATCAAAGCCGCTATAGTGGCATTCTCTCCCGGCGATCGTCGGTTCGAGGACTCCCTTTGTGATTTCTCTTCTTGCGACTTCTCGTCATTCTCCACAGATGCAAAGAGATCCTTGAGAAACTGAGGGGTTTCGATGTCCGGTAATTGGACCGCAGACACGCGAGACGAGAACGACTTGATGCCGTCCGAAGCCGAGCCTATAAAATCTGCTGCTACATCTTGGACAGACGACAGCAATGCAGTCGACTTGTTGCGCAGTTCTGTCGCAATAAGATGAACACACAGGAGTCATATCACGTACGAGAACTTACCTTCAAACTTGTAATTGGCGTAACCAAGCCCACCAGCACCAAGAGCTGCACCGGCTATCGGTACACGAAATGCTCGGGCAACAAACCGAGGTATAGAAGAGTATGAAATGGCGCGGACGTGGAGGTTACGCAAGGCAGTAGGAGTTTGGGATGCATACCGTTGCCGCAGGCGGACAGAGCCTGGTGAGGATGTCAGCAGCGTGCCAAATTGGCGGTGCACGGGCCTATGCAATTTAGTAGCCTTTCTGCTGGAAGCACTCCCATATGTTACAATTTTCTTGGGTAATAAAGAGGTAGACATATAACGGCGGAACGAAGAGTACATAACGTGTTGATAATCCTTGCTACAGCTCAGTCTAGCTCAGTATTCTTTGATGCATCACGTGACTTCCCGCCGGCGTCAGTACTTGGGATGGTCAGATCAAGAGTTCTTTCAAAATGCAGGAGTGACAATCAAATAGCGTAGCGCAATTGAATCAGAGTGCTCAGGTTAATCATACAGTATTGTACCGTAGAATTTCCGTCTCATGTCGCATCCCGCGAGTCAAGGCTAACAAAATGTTCTCGATGCGAGCCTGACGGTCCTGTAAAATGGTTCATCACCTCATGCCATGATGACGCTATGTTAACTCACTTGTAAGTCTTTCATCTCATCTTTTAGTTTGCGGACTGGTAATTCACGACAATCCTCTAACAATGCTTCAATCCGCTTGATGGAGGAGTCCAACCTGTCCATGTTCGTGATATCAGGTAGCATTTCTACCGGTGGAGTAGACGACGGGTCGTTGAAACGTTGTAAGAACAAACTTGTGACTGGTGTAGACGTATTCAGGTGCAAGATTTTTCTTGTGCCTGATGGTTCTGATAACGCAGGCAATGCGCTGACCTTTCGAGTCCTCGGGGGTTGTGATTGCGACTTCTTTGAAAGTGAAGCGGATCTCTTGTGACGCCGCGGTTCCGAAATGGGTGATGACCCAGAATCTTCATGTCCAGATGTAAGTAGTGACCGCAGGCTGGTCTCGTCCACCTCCGAGTCATCAAAAAGCTCAAAATCCCTGGAATCCTCGACCTCGAAAATCGCCTCGTACAAATCCGCTGACTTCGAACCGACAAAATAGTCGACAAATGGCATGTTCTTGATGTGCCTTGGGATGCTGTGATACAGACTGCGAGCAGCACCCTTTCCGGGCTCACGTAGCCGCTGTTCAGAAGCCAAGAGACGTTCGTACATGGCGATAGCGATCAAAACAGGGAATGACTATAGTGAACAAACATGGTGCAGTGCAGATAACGGTCTATAGGTGGTGGCTTAGGAAAATATAAGGATGCTTACTGTAAGCCTGATCAGGAACACGTTCGCAGAGTGCAAAGAGCGGGGCGAAAGGATGTAACTTGCAGGTTTGAGTATGACGAAGGCGAGAATGTTGAAAGGAGGCTGGTAGCTGAATAAAGCATCCGATTTTACGCTAGTGAAGAAGTTTAGCCGCAGTGTATCATGACTTGAAACATTATTGAGGGTGCCTTACCCCTGGATAGTCGATATAGTGCATTGAAACAGAAACTTGGTACCGAGTCAGACAAGTGTGCCACTGACCAACATTCTGTGATTTCATTACCTCTTGGGTAGCGTTCTGAAAATGCAATGTCATTTGAGCACCAGATTAGTAACTTACCAACCGTCACTTACTGCATCAATTCGGGCAGCGGTATTTGACAAAATGGAAATAAGAACTAGTATATCAACTCAATAGCGACCCCATCATCATTAGCAGTCAATACGCACTAGTCAAGAGAAGGGTGCCCGACAACGCTGCGAAGAATGTCATTAAAATGGGACCGAACACCGGATGAAAGCTTTTTGCTTGGGCAAAACTGAGGTACGTGTAGCCGAACCAGATCTGAACCATCAACCAAGCAATATTGCGTATTGTCCATGTACCTGAGGCTTAGATAAAACAATCAGTCTCGATTTAATGGTGCAAATGATTTATAATTTACCTAAGGTGTACAAGGTCAGCAAAATACCAGAGAAACAAACTGCCGCTATGCCTATGAAAAAAATAAATTCAGCTATCATTGCGCGCAACGCCCTTTCAGTAGAGAAATTAGCAGGAATGTTACGAGAGAAGGATGAAACAATTTACAAAACGACAACATTATTGTTTATTGCATAAAAAGCTAGCCTGTAAAAGAAAATCAACAAGTCATGATGTACAAGTGGACCAGTTATACCGAGGAGCAAGAACGCAACACCCGCAAGCTAGCAGGTCAAAAGCAAGCTGAGACATCTTTGCTAATGGGAACTTCCGATTGAGTCCCAATCACCTACACGAGCGACACAACTAACCGTCATTATCCCACAGCCCCTTCACTCGCAAAACCAGATAGCCGAGAAATATTATGACAAATGATGTGTCAAAAACGTTCCATATCTAGAGAAGCGGACTTCAGCTTCAGCCAGGGAGCTTGAACCCAAAGATGAAATTACGTTGGCAATGTAAACTGCACAAGTATATCAGAAATCGAAATGTGACAGTTGAACATGTACTGACTAGCCCACCCGTACTCCTTAGAAGCCGTGTACTCTTGCAATGTAAAGGCAATCGCAAAAACCAAGAATACAGACTCCCACGGAGTCACATGAGAAACGTCTTGCGCTAAAAATGATTGGCTACTCTGACTCACAGTCAGGCTGAAAACTTACTCCATATACACGCAAGGAAAACCACCATGAGCATAGCTATGTTGACAAAATGCAAAATCGCAGAATATCGTGGAACCCTCAATCTGATAGAGTGTGAGCTCGACGTGAAAGGTACGAGTGTTTGATGAACCTGTAGTGATCGAGCATCGGTGCCGTACGCGGGTTGTACATCATGATCGCCCTCTGCTTGTAATTGTCTGGCACCATCGATCTGTTGCCAGCGATGGATACTATGATGCGCCCATTGTATATGTCAGTTACAACGCTCTGAACAATCGCGGAAGCCAGGAATGTCTTTGCCTTCGTGGCGATTGCCATCTTATCGAGGGTCATTAACATTGATTGAAAAATAGATATGGCCTGAACTGACCTCAATGGCACACTGAGGGTCATCGACATACTCATCTTCCCCTCCAATAGCGTCTTTCACCTCCTCGATCACATCATCTGGCGCTCCTGCTAATGGACACCAGAGGGTCGTCAAAACAGCGACCAACTGAATCTTGCTCGATGCGAAGTGACTCAAAAGCTTCAATGCCATGATCTCACAAAGGGTGGCGCGCGAATACATCACCCCGGCATGAGCCAAGTCTGAGCCTGACTGTGCTAAGAAATATGAACGAACAACCATGCACGCGTATACTATAGCCATGTTCCTGAGCTTCGCGTACTTCGTGACCAAGGGACGCACTATGGCAAAATTGATGTCCGAGGCTGTGAGTTGCCTGTGAGGATATCATGAATGACCCAGTCCGAACTACCGTGAAACATAGCAAACATCAACGTACTCCCAACTAAGCGGACTATCTGAGATGTTCGTCAGCCACGTGCTTGAATGATCTAGGCATCACAATAAAGTCTCTCACCGATAGTGTTCTGCATTGATGGCCAAACAAAGCGTCAATGATAACATGTGCTTAAGTTGGAAGATGCAACTCACGATCACATCTTTCTTCAGGTAAGGAATAAGCGGGAACACTTTCACAGACGCTAAAAACTCCTGTGAAGGAGCGAGCAACCCTTGATTTATTTGCTCCTCCGCATCCATGTCAGCAAAATCAACTCGCAGGCAGCTTAGTTAGGGAGCAGCGTAATTTCTCCTAAAAATCCTAGGTCTGACAACTCGCACGGGTTGCCAACTCGGAAGGTGGTTTGAACAGCAAGTAAGTCGTCGGGCCACAGAGGTGTTGAGTGCTAAGTGTTCAAGCGATTATCGATTAAGTGTGTTGTTATTATTTTATGCCGTAAATAACAATGATTATACTTATCCGAGTCTGGCCAGCAGTTCCTTATTGAGATACAAAGTCTCCAGGCGAGCAATATCCTTTGTTTTCTCTCCTTCAATAAAGTCCCCTAAATTCATCTCCCGCTCGTTAACTTTCGACGCTATCCTGTGATGAGCCATGGGATGCTGTTTTTCTGAACCTGTGGATTTTGATTCTGAAGTCAATCTTTTTCATTTCGACCTCCATAGAGCAGTGGGCAAAGGAGCTTTCGGCAAGGTCGGCCATCTTTGATTCTTTGTTCCTTTGTGTGGTCACTCATAAACCAGTGTCTGCTTAGGTCAGGGTAGTCGAACACAAGCGTTCCAAAAAGCTTTATGCCCTCAAATACATTGATAAAGCGCGATGTATCAAGCAAAAGGCCGTGGCGAACATCATACAAGAACGTAGACTACTCGAGGAGGTGCGTGATATCTTTGTTGCCTGCATGTTCAAGTCTCAAACTACCTTTTTTATAGATCGACCACCCTTTCATTGTCAACTTGCGATATGCATTCCAGGATGATGAAAACTGTTTCTTTGTGCTCGACCTCATGCTGGGTGGAGACCTCCGATGTGAGTCAATCGCAGCCTTGTTCTATTGGCGTGTTCTAAGATCGTGTACCGCAATGAGTCCATTTGGAAAGCAGAGGATGCTTCAGTGAGGACGTAGTCCAATTTTGGGTTGCAGAGCTGGCTTCAGCTCTCGTTTATTTGCACAAGCAGCGCATTATTCATCGGTAAGATTTTCCTGTGGCGGAATACCTTGATCATTAACTAGAGCCGCAGTGACCTTAAACCAGATAATATCGTACTTGATGCAAAGGGTCATGCACATATCACCGACTTCAATGTTGCCATCCATTATTCGGAGCGTCGGTTGCACACTAGTGTCGCTGGTAGTATGGCATATATGGCTCCCGAAGTCGTTGGAAGGAAAGGATACACATGGTGTGTCGACTGGTGGAGTTTCGGTATTACAATCTATGAGTTGTTGTTCCGACGACGTCCATTCGATGGACGCACATCTGAGAAGATGACCAACTCCATCCTCAAAGATCCTCTGAGGTTTCCCGATGATGCCCATAAGAAATGCAGTTCAAACTGCGTGAAGTTTGTGCAAGCAGTAAGTGCCGACACTCGTTAGCATCCGTCCTTTTCTTAATCTGGTCGCAGTTACTCGAACGTAATGTTAGCCAACGTCTTGGTTGCCGACCACATGGTCAAGGCTTCCAAGACATTCAAAACCATGCATGGCTGCAGGGTATAAATTGGCAAAGTACGGATACGAAAGCAACTCAGCCTCCTTTCGTTCCAGACGTGAGTATTATGAATTGTTAATCGGTTTCATATTTATTCCTCATGCAGATGAAGAAAGCTAATTTTGACGTAACTCACGAACTCGATGAGTTCCTAATGGTTGAAAAACCACTGACCCACACAAAACGTAGGGTAAACCCGGATTTAGCCAAAATGAAGCCGGAAGTGAGGCAGTTGGAAGAGCAGTAGGTTCGCCATACGGGTTTCCATAATAGTCTTAACTCGTTTCGTCACTAGATTCACCGTTTATGACTTTATGTCCACTAAGCGCAGGTCGTATTACCCTCATAACGAGCCCATCACCACTGTCGTACGGAGCTTAGAATCCGACCAAATTCCGGTTGTTCAGTCAATATCAAACACCCTTGTTCCAACCACGACGATGGGAGACAGATCCCAAGCCGGTTCTCCAGCCTTGGATACCACTTGGCACCAGCATATGTCCATACCTCTTTAGCATATGGCTGTTTTATTACCTTAATATTAACGGTCCGTCCTTGACTCTCACTACCTGGATTGCATCTCATACGTATTCGACTTTTCAGATGCCCATTGTGCACTTAATGTTGTATTTTCTAACTGAAGCATTCATATTATCTATATCTCCTGGAGTCTTTCGCATTAGCCAATTTATGCACATATTCACACTTCCTTGCTCGCACTGTGGCATTTATGTAGTATCGTTGCTAGCAGCGTTCTAGCCGGTGTATCTACCTTCGTAAACGATAAACTTGCATCCGTTCAACACCCATTATAGGTGCATGGTGTTGTTAGCTTCACTCATTTTGCACTTGACTCGAACAAAAGAAACCATAAGAAAAGCACTTTTTTCGACCTTGCCAGACTTGGGCGGAGTCCTCCTTGTCTTGGGCCGTGCCAGTTGATCGAGCCATCATGCATCATGCATTCATGCTTCGAACGTTGTTACATGGTACTCGGCAGATTGCCGCTGAGTAAGCTTCCTGAATCATCTCACGAACACTCATCCCCTTACTGTGAACTTCCCAAATTATTTAATGTCCACTCGAATTCAGCCGCAAAGTATTCGCACAGTGGGCGAACTATTCGCGAATGCTGCTATTAAAGACGTCGAAACGCCCATTTATCCACCCAAGCGATCGCTTCTGAGTCGTGTACATCTCTAGTTAGCCAGTGATCACTGTGCACTCCTTACTACCTCTCTTCTAACTCTCGTATAAGTCAAGGTGACATCACTGAAATCGAGGTGGATGCGATCGTCAACGCTGCCAAATCGACATTGCAGGGTGAGTCATGACGTGGCCCATAGTATACAACGAGTCAGCGCTCAGCTGCTGACGTATGTGAACCAACCGTAGGCGGCGGCGGAGGTCTGTCGAGCTCCCAAGTGTGATCGTCATATCAAACTCACAAGATTTAGTGGATGGGGCGATCCATATGGCTGCTGGCCCAGCACTCGCCAAAGCATGTACGATCTACTCCCCTTCAGGGTGCTGGTCACAATCTCACTCTAGTATCCCGTTCACTTGATATAGGCAGAGAATTGTATCCTGGGCGTCACCCCTGCCCAACTGGTGACGCTAAAATTACTCCAGGTTTTCAGCTCCCATCGTAAGTGTACCGTCTTTGCCGGTTGCTCTGCTGACCTTATTCCAATATTCTACACGTCAGGAAACACGTTATCCATACTGTAGGACCAAGATGGAGTGTTTCTTCAGACACAAAGACAATGGCTAGTCAGCTTGCGTCTTGCTATAGAAAAAGTCTTCAGTTAGCGGTAGACAACAACTGCAAGAGCATCGTAAGCCATCAACAATTCTTCATTCTGGCAGGCGATATCATCGTGCGACTCTAATTGACATGCAGGCCTTTCCCCTAATTTCAACTGGCATCTATGGATACCCCATCGGCGAGGCAGCTCACGTTGCTCTCAAGGAGACACGAATTTTCTTGGAAGGAAATAACCAGGTGACTGGGGGAGCCCCTTCGTGACTTTTGGATGACCATAACTATGAACTTTCAGTTGGACCACGTAGTATTTGTCATTTTCACCGGGAGGGACGGCGATCAAAAGATATACGAGTACGTGGCAATAATGCGCTTGCACGGGTCTTCATTCACGAGGCTGCAACCAGAAAATTCATTCCATATTATTTTCCCCCTTGGACCAGAATATATCACGGAAAGCGTCGAACTTCTGTCGAGTGTGAAAGGTCCTGTAGATGAATAACTTCTGCGTTGTATTGTTTCACTTTTACTTCCAGAACCAAATATAGTTACGGTGCAATTACATCCATTCTAATACACAAAGTTGATAGGCTGTCTAAGACTGTCTGACAGATGATAGGAGGATGCAACGACTGATATCAAACTCGATTCATGAATCCTCCTTGCAACTTGACCTGTTCACCGGCTGCAAGACGAGATGTCATTCGAAGCAGAATTATGCGGCCGCATCGCCATCATAGTAAGGCCGGTGAGCTACAAATATTGTCAACGTAAAACACCCTGGGAAGACTCGCGGGTTCCTTGATGGCAATAGATGGTTCGTGGTTGTTACAACTGTACAAAGGAATGACCATCTCATGTTACATGTAGTCTTTGTACAATCTGCCTTCATCTTTTTGTCGTGTCCATTGCAATATTGCTTCAGCCTTTGTCTTGTCTCTCCAATCAGCTCGTTTCTTGGACATTCCCCTTTAGTCTCACTTAGTATTTAATTACATGACATGTATATGCATCTTGACTCTTGAGCGCTTGAGCGGTATCTCTAGAATTCATCTGCTTATAACCTATAATTCTTGTTCTCACGGTAAGACTCAAAGTTTGATGAGTCATCAAAAACAAGTTGATTGACTAGTACTAAGAACCACCAGATGACATCGCGGTAAGCCCAAATTCAGCTTGTTTGTAAAACATTGTGCAAACATTGTGCTTGATACAGTGATGGGAGAACGTTTGGGCATATCAGTGGCGTGGAGGTTGGCACAAGTTTCAACTCAAAGTGAGTGCATAGAGCATGATTGTCATACCACAACGAATTCACTGTGGCCTGTCCAATAATCCTAGAGCTGCGTTAGCCGACGCAGGCGTACATAAACTACAACAATCTGGCATACATGGGGATAAAGAGCTTGGCGCATTTTCCATATGCTTGTCCAAAGGGTATGAGGATAATGTCGACAGGGGAAATGTCATGTACGTCTGTTTCCTGCCTAGCCGTTCCACATACTGAGATGACTTCTATTATGTTCAGTACGTATGTTGGCTCAGGTTAGTCATCGCGTTATAATGCTCGTGATTTCACTGTTAACCTTTATTCAGGTGGACAAGATGAGGATGGAGTAAGCAATATCAGGTCCTCCTATCATTAAACATGTTACAATTGCATTTTAGAAACAAATAAGTGACCAAGACCCTGATTCTGGAGTTAATAAAGCCATGTTTGTAAGTAATATCATTTGTGACAGTTCTTCCCAGTAACTCACATTTTGAGTAGCTCTCCTCTGAAACCAGGCGTCCAGTGCGAGTCGTACGCGGAGCGAATGACGACAACGCTTATTCTCCAGCGTCGGGGGTGAGGGAAGTGCGCTTTCTCCTAGCCCGCTTTACTGATCCACGTTTAGTTTTCGTTATGACGGGCTGTATGTCGTCGATGAGGTGCTGGTTCTTTTCACCATATCATGAACCATTACTGATGCAGACCAGGCCAAGATGATGGACGGAAAGAAAGGATTTAAGATGTGCACCTTTACGCTGAAGGTGAGAAACACCACAAAAGCTCCTATATGTGACTGACCTGTCTCTAGCGAATTGATGAAGAAGGCCAGAAGGCGATACCAATAAGGCGCACCCTCACTCTCGGCAAACTGGCAAAAATGAGGAAGAATACTCGTACCGGATAATTTGCCCGCTATAGTTGTGATACCTTGGCTTTCAATCATCATGCAATGGAATCTCTTCATATATACTCGTGTATTAGTATGTACAGTCGTCTGCCTGCGTTTGTAGTTTTACTGTCCAATACCAACCTCCTCATTTGTCTACCTCGTTGATTAGTGCGCGCGTGATGTGTGGACCATGCATATATCATATTTGTTCTCGACAAGATGTGCCACTGCAATTTCAATTTGTTCCTCAAACTGTATGTGCGGGAAGTCAGGGTATGCTGTATCCCGGAGCCAGATGTAATGTAAAAGTGGATGAGCTCCAAACGGATTTCACGAAAGTGACAAAATGGGTGTAATGATGCATAACAACACGCGTCAGCTGCAGCGGCGGTGCAGTAAGAAAATTCATGGCAGAAGTCGAGAAAAGGCAGCAAAGCAAAGTGTCAGAGCGAAATAACAAGGAAGAAAGGTCAGAATCGGCAATGCAGAACCACTAAATGAACGTATTGGGAAAGACCTCTGAGCGATATCGTTTTAGCGCCAAGGTCCATGCAACAGAGATGATCACTCACCACCAACCATATGCACATGATAGACGACGGATTCATTTACAATGTTACTGGTGGACCTAGGTCATTACGACTGATCCTCATCAGGAATTTCTCCGTGCTCATCCGGGATGCTGACAATGCTTTGGGGTCGGTGCTTCAATAAAACGACACTCTCCAGCATGACCACCATGTCTTCAATGTCGTCGTCAACTGCAGGGACCTCAGACCCTGCGCTATGCACAGTTTCGTCTGTGGCGAGCTCTTGAGACTCAATTGAACCATCGGAGTTGGCATCCCCATGGGACAGCGGCTCTTCAACCACTGGCAGAGCTTCGGGGTGCACTTCAGGCTCAGAAACTTGGGGAACGTCGTCCACCATTGCGTCAACATGAATCTCAGCATGTGTTGCCTCGGGATGCAAGACTTCCACGATACTCTCCACAACTTCCCCTAAAACGCCTCGGGCCCCTATGGCTGGTACCTCGTCGACGTGATCACGAACTTCATGCAAATCGGCAATTCCTTCTGAAATCACGGTTTCCTCTAGGTCATGGCCATTGTCAGAATATCCGCTTTCTAGATGATCGAGCTGATGCTCAACATTGTTGGTAGCAACCTTGGCTGCATCCTCTTGCACCTTTGCTTCATTCGTCCTTGCGGGTGCTAATCCTACCCTAAGTTTTGACGGACCGCGGGGAGTGAGACCTGCAGATGTCGATTTGACGGTACGAATAGGACTAGCCACATGAGGAGGAGCGCGCGCCTTCGACATGGATGCAGCAGTAGGCTTGCTCAGTCGTTCGGCTGCGCTGCTGCTGAGTGTTGCCTTCTTCACTGGTGGAGGAGCGGGTGGAGGGACATTACGAGAACGTGCAAGAGATGCTGCTGTAGGCGCAAACAAACCCGAGGAAGGTGTCTTTGGACGAGATGCATTGGTCGTATGCACGGCAGGCGTTTTCGGTCGAGAAGGGGTGACAGGTGTTGATTTGGGAACCGATTTGGGGGTGCTACGGACAGTGGAAGTATTGGAAGCAGCCGATTGTCCTGTATGTTGTGGTTTGATGGGCTGAGAGATAGAGGAGGAGAGTGAAGATTTAGGTGGAGACTTCACTGGAGATTTGACCGATGCAGTAGAGGGGCGTGGTTTTGCAGGCGAAGTTGGATTCGTCCGAGACCCAGCAATGGGCGTAGCCTTCCCAGAGACTTGCTTCTTCACTGTGGGCGACCTGGCGGGTTCTGGGAGCGTGGGTGCGGCCGTGGTGGTCTCTGCCGGCTTCTCTGTCGTGGGCTGAGGGCTCATGGGTGGCGACGTGTTCTGGGCGGCGGAAGAAGGGGACAGAGTAAGAGCGGATGTATCTGCACTCGCAGATGTCACATATTTAGGCGGCCACTCCCTTTTCTCCTTTGTATCTTCTTTTGCGGAATCACCAGCAATTTGTGACGACACACTGGAACTGCGCGGGATCGTAGGCGCAACAGAGGACGACTGGCGTTTGTTCTGCTGCTCAAAACGTCCGATGAGATTTGCAACGCTCTGACGAGGTCTCTCATCTGGCAGAGGCCTGCACGACATCATCCGTCAGAGAACCGTTGGTTAGAACAGAACACGAACGACTTACATGGCGCGCCCTGATGAAGGTTAGAATAAGAGAATGAAGAAAAGAAAGAAATTTACAGAGCGAGGGTATCCTCGAAAGACCTGACTGGCAGATACGTTGGGAAAGGTGATGATCAAGTGGACAGAAGGTGATGGTTGTTTTCAGCTTGATGAGTGACTCGATCCGATTTTGGTAGCACCAAATATATTGCTAGGCAAATAACGAAAACAAGGACGACAAGACATGACTATAGCAGTATTAATGGTAGTACAAGACAAAATATATAGAAGCAGCGATTGAGATGATCAGAGCCAATCATGATATCCAGCTGTCAACAGCCTGATGTAACGCAATTCTAGCGCCGTCCCTTTGCCAGAAGTGATTCGCATCCATCACCGGAACAACATCAAACCTAGCCTTCAAACCATCTGTTCGCCTGAGGGTATCAACCCACTCATCATATTTCGACTTGCTCGTGAACTCGTCCTTATCTCCGTATATGAGGAGTAGTCTGGCGTCAGGGTTGCACAAGATGTCACGTAATGCCAAACTGTACATGCCAGTGTGGAACATGGTCAGTAATCCTCTTGGGCTGATGGGGTAGGATAGAAGTATGTGTGATGTTTTCACTTTGGGGTTCAAAACAGGATGGAGCGAGGCTATCAAAGAGCCATAAGAATATCCCTGCAGCCTTGCATCAAGTCGTGCATTGACATTTTTCAAAATGTCGTGCTCACAATAACCGTCAAAGAATCAATTTCGGGTTTCTCTTCCAAGAACTCCTGCACGAGAGCCTTGAGATCCTCGCCTTCCGTTTTGCCTGTGAGGGAAGGCCATCCACTGGACTTGCCGACACCTCGGAAATTATACCGTATCACGTAGTAGTTCTTGTGTTGCAATAATCTAGTGAGTACCTTCAGAGTCCTTTGGACTCACCATCAGTATCCGCAAGGGTTTGTGCATTGGCATGGCACTGACGGTTCATGCATGTTGCCCCCAAGCCACGACCAGGGATGTAAGAGGATCGCCAGTTTCTTGGAATCCAGCTCCAGTCTCGGGTACCACATATTAACTTGGAGTGTAACGCCCGTAGACACTGATCTCGAACCCTCGGAGGTCTGCACTGAGGGGTCCATTGTCCGAGACCACGTTACGAGTTAGAAAAGTTCTCGTGCCTAGGCCCTCGCTTCACTTAGTGCTTACGTGTTCCGAGAAGTTCCGAGTAGCCACTGATTAGACTCGTGACCAGTGATCACTAAATACATGTGTAAGTAGTACTTACTACTAAACTCTAGACCTCGAGAGAGCTGACGTAGTATGTAGCGACCTTAGTGTACCTGACTACAAGTTGGGCTGACATCACGATACAGTCTGGCAGTGCTATAGGCCTTGCAGCAAATAACAACCAGCCATTCTATGCGCGCCTCACTTCAAGCCTTCCAAAGTTCTTGAAACGTTCTGGAATCGTTGACGATAAAAGCCAGGGTCAACAGTGAATTCTATGTTAGCGGCTTGGCCTTACGTTCTGCTCTTTGATGCACCTCAAGAAAGAAGCTGAAGCTTCAGGGATGCAGCGAGAGGTGATGAGACTATACCTCGATTGGATTACAGAATTCCACCTGTTGCTCGAAATGCATTGCGCAGTTTCTGAACACATTCAGTGAACGTTATCGGCTATATGTGAACAATTTCAAACCGAGGTCCGTAGTGCGCACCATCAAGGTATTCTTCCCTTAACAAGTCCAGCGGATAAGTCAAGATTGCATGGTTCAGTCAGCCATACAGTTGCTGGAGCGATACGATAGCAGATAACAATTATTCATGAAACTGTCAACGCAGCAATGATTAGGCGTGGCAGTTTATTTTTCCAGACTCCTCTTCCAACATATGTTGCCATGAAAGAGAGGAATGAATTCGGCCGATGCCAAGAGGTGATAACGATCTGTCAAGTATCAGACGTAGAGTTTGAAGGATACATGCGCTTCAGGTGTCGATACTTGCGGAGCGAGTACAAGGCAAGGGTTTCTGACATGTTTAATGAGTTGAAGCAAGGAGTTTCGAACCACTTCTGACTCGCCGTTCTTGATATATTCTCCAAACCTGAGTGCCTTCTCTATTTCCTCGTCATCAGTGAGGTTCCGGTTTTCTGTTGAAATGAAAACCATTGATAACGTCGTGCGAGATTATCGTGGAAGCCAACCCACTTTCGAACAAGCGTCTAAGCTTCCTATGGAAGTCATATCTAAAGTGCACATGTGGATTTGGTTGGACACTTAAGGTGGATGTGAAATTGAGGCATACGAAGGTTCATAATCTCTGCCCAGTCGGTGGAGTTCCTTATAAAGCGCAAGGGCTCTAAGTCGAGTTACCTTCGAAGCCATCTCTGGCTGAAGCGTGGTGGTCCAATTGACCGACGTGCTTTGACAGTGAAGAGCGGTACTGCTTGGAGTTGGTAGGTGTTCGGAAGTATTATATGCATGGAACGTGCCACAGCCACTGTCTAGGTAGGTGACTCACAAGCGATGAGCGCAGGACCGAGAATATTGTAGTACCTCATGTAGATCGTCCATTGAATCAAGATCAGAAAGCCTCATCACTCCATGTTGATATCGAGTGGTCTTACTGTATATCCATTTCATATGGAAGTAACGTGTCAATCTGGCAGAACTACGTACAAGCTCTCGGCGAATAGTTCTGCCTATGTACAAGAACAAAGCTTTACGTCATCCATACATGGTTTCCTCTTGATTATAGATCCGCTCGTGTCTCCAAATGGTAGGGACTGTTCAAGTATGTGTGGAAACCGCATACGTGGATCCATATCAGAATGCGTAAACACCGTAGAAATATGGGCACACGGGATGAACCGGACTTGCTTCATTCTGTTGGGTGACTGCCACAGTGCCGCTGTAAGCCATTGTCATTGACTCTTGTGGTGCTTGATTAAGTTTCGGACTCGCTTGTAGGTAGCTGAGCCTAAGACGAGCCAAGACGTTACCTCAAATCGAAGATTCTGAGCAGGCACCAGCTGTGCGGCGTGAACGTCGCAGGACATGTGTAGCCTCGAGGCACGCACTGGCTGTCAGCACGTCGGATCATGAGACCGAGTATACCAGGTTTGACGCGGATGTCGAGGAATATCAAGTCGCAGATACGCCGTACGGTCAACAAAAGACCTTAAACGCAGCTTATAATTATACTTAGCTTGATCACCGGAACTAATCCTGGCAGGAACCGGTACGATTGTTATCTTTTAGAGTTCAGTCACTTGTCAGCTTAAGCCTTATATCCTGAAGCTGAACGTGAACACTCAACGTTCTTGCATTGCACGCCACAATGTCATGAGTGCGTGACACTGACAGTATCAGTACGTACTGTGCACAGCTAAAAGATCAATTGGGTGCGCCCGCTGATGCAGCTAGGCCGGAGCTGTAGTATCAGTGATTCTGAATGTAGATTTAGGGCTAGTACTAGTAAGTACCCCTCTGGCAAAAAACGTTCGAACAAGAATAATATATCGATCGTAATATTGAACGTGCAGAACAATTAGTCATCAATACCGCACTTTCCATTGGATCATCGGTATTGAATATTGAACGTGTAAGGAACCCTGATTGCAGTTTCAGCACATGCTGGTGGCACTGTAGATCCAGATCGATAACGATGATCACCCAAACCAGACGTTATAAAATGCAGGTGCGTACTTACCGCCTTCAGGATCCCCTCCCCCATCCCCCCTTATCGTACCAGTTTTTACCAGGGACCTACCCACCGTGACTTGCGATGACTTCGAGCCATGAACACCAATCCAGTCGTGCATCATACCATGATAAGGGGCAAACTAGTACTAATGCTACTGTGCTTGACGAGCGTCGTCGTGCGGCACTAGCAGAAATCGATAATGCGCCCTTCTCGTAAGTCTCGCAATTTTGTTTTATTTCAATTCTTACAATTTACATCTCGCCCCTAGTTGGTTCCATGTCAAGGTTTGCCTGGTAGCTAGTGTAGGTTTCTTCACCGATGCGTAAGTTCTATATTGATGTGCTACAACCACCTCCGCTCATCCACCGTCAGCTACGACATTTTTGCTATCAACATCGCCTCAGTAATGTTGGGATTTGTCTATGGTCACACAAGTGAGCATCCCGAACCTTCCATCATGGTTAATGTTACATGTCATTCCTACTAGACAACGGGCTCAGCGCCAACCAATCTTTGGGTGTGAAAGTAGCTACTCCCGTCGGGAACTTGGTTGGCCAAGTACTTTTCGGGTGGCTCGCAGATATTATCGGCCGGAAGCGGATGTGTAAATCCAATTTCATGTCCGAGCTTACCCCTAGAATTAATCCACGCTCTCATAGATGGCGTCGAGCTAATGATCATGATTATCGCGACATTTGGTCAGGCTCTCGCTGGTGAGGCTCCAGCAATAAATATTCTAGGTGTTATCATTGTCTGGCGTTTCATTGTAAGCACAACAATCCAATTCCGCAAAGTCTGCTCCTCACAGTCCCATGAATAGATGGGGGTTGGTATCGGTGGTGACTACCCATTGAGTGCCATCATTTCCTCAGAATTCGCCGCTACACGTTCACGCGGTCGTCTCATGACTGCCGTGTTCGCTGCACAAGGATGGGGCCAATTCGGTTGGTTGATATTATCTCCCCAAATGATGTGGTAATTAATCATCCACAACGTAGCTGCTGCTCTCGTCGGTATCATCGTTGTAGAAGCATATAAGGATTCAATTCTCAGTGCTCCGTTCCCTTGCGTTGTCCCTGTCGATCATACCTGGCGTCTCTTGATTGGTCTTGGATGTGTCCCTGGAGTTATTGCACTCTACTTCCGTCTCACCATCCCGGAGACTCCCCGTTTCACCATGGACATCGAGCGCAATATTGCACAGGCCACGACAGATATTGACAACGTGTTAACAACCGGGAAGTCAGTCCATAATGAAGATGCCCCCGTCCAGCTTGTCGAAGCCCCGAAGGCAACCCGCGCGGACTTCCGAGCATACTTCGGCAAGTGGAAGAACTTGAAAGTCTTGATTGGCACTGCCTACTCGTGGTTTGCTCTCGATGTAAGTTCCAACTCAGCTCTGAGGTTCCAAGTTAAGTTTTTTTTTCTGCGTTCAGATCGCTTTCTACGGCCTTGGTCTCAACAGCTCGACCATTTTGACGGCAATAAACTTTGGGAGCCCCACTAGCGCACAAACATCGCTCTTTGTTTATGAAACCTTACACAACATCTGTGTTGGTAATCTTATCCTCTCCATCGCGGGCTTGATTCCAGGATATTGGGTATCTTTCCTGTTTATCGACTCCTGGGGCCGCAAGCCCATTCAATTGATGGGCTTCACCGTACTCACCATCCTTTTCATTATCATGGGTCTGTACACTTCATTCCTATAAATTCTGGTACATGGAGTTGACAAATTCTCGGCAGGTTTCGGTTATGATAAGTTGGACAGCCCCGTCGGCCCGGGCAGGAAAGTTTTTGTCTTCCTGTACTGCCTCACCAACTTCTTCCAAAACTTTGGTCCTAACACGACCACTTTCGTCGTTCCGGGAGAGGCCTTCCCCACCCGTTACCGATCAACTGCACATGGTATCTCTGCTGCATCTGGCAAGCTTGGAGCTGTCGTATCCCAGGTTGGCTTTTATCAGCTGATTAACATCGGTGGCAAGAACAAATTCATAGGTCATATGTGAGCAGCACAGATTCTAATCCATGCACAGAATCTAAATTTGAGTTTTAGTATGGAGATTTTCGCTCTGTTCATGTTGACTGGTATTTTCTCGACACTTCTCATCCCCGAAACAAAGCAAAGATCGCTTGAAGACATTTCAAATGAGGAGCAGGAAGGCTACATCCAAGGCGTTCCTGAAGCGACATCCTAGGCGTATACCACTGTGCGCGGGACACCATGAAAATGGTGTCTTGCGAACTTAGCCACGGACTACGCTCACTATCTATAAATACTTTCTATGTCTCCTCGGTTTGTATCGGTGCACACAATAAACAATGCATGTAATGACAATGAAAACAACAACCGTATAATGTTAGTCTAAACTCGCCCTGTTGGTAACCGATTAATGAAACTGCAAGCTTCACAGAAAGGTACAGTGTTGATGGACTATGACATGGTCATGGTAGCACTGATTGGCAGCGTTTCTTCTTATCCAGAGCTTTCTGGAGAAGGGATCGCAGATGTGCTATGCAAACTGTCATTCCGGAAGCGCCCTCAGGCCTCGATACCGATGCACTCAGGGGGCTAGCATGGGAGAGCAAACAGCTGCCGGCCTGGAGGAGAACACACAACACTTCGCAGAGCTATCTATACTGCCTGAGCTTGCCGCTGGGAATTAATCGACAATCGAGAGGAGTATCCGCGAGTTGAAATGAGGAAGTTTCCAAGCACTGCAAGAGCTATAAGAAGACATGATATTTCCTAGCTAGATGAAACACCGAGGTACATGTCAATTTAGATTATGACGCCACTGTTTTCAGCTTCTTTTTCTGTACGACACAAGGGAGTAAGCCATGGCTATTTGCATGCTGAGAAAAGGGCCTACATAGCTGACAGCGTCGAAATCATATTTAATGCCAACTTCGGCCAGCTTTCGCTTCCTCTCGTTTTCCCTTTGAATCAGACGCTTCTCGGATTTTCGCATGCTTTCTTGGGTTCGTGGCTACCAACAATAGGACTGAGTCATGTCGTTAGTAAACTTTCATTCGACGGACCTTGTTATGTTCTTTCCGCACATTCTGATCTCTTGGGATGGCCTTCCACTTTTTATTTGCACCTACCCACAACTCGGGGTGCACCTTCTCCTTGGGTATTATCTTGCACTTAAGTATATGGCCCATCAACAAATAGTTATCCATTGTCTCTGCGACAATTTGCGCGACGGACGCCGAGTCGAACTCGACAAAACCGTAGTGTTTTGATCTGCCAGTCTGATTCACCGTCAGATTATGCTAACCACCACGACAATTTGAGTACCTTTTTGTTCCGTGAGATACGCAATCTTGTTACATCCCCGAATTGAGAGAGATATCCTTTCAACTGATCTTCGTAGAACCCATGTGGTAGGCAACCCATGTATATCACACCCCGGTCTTGAGTCTATTCCACTGTAAGATATAACTAATAGCTGGTCGATACACTCACTGGATGCCGTTTCGCTTTCTCAAGTTTCCTCTTTACTGTTGCATCATCCTTGGCGACAGTAGGTAGTCGCCCGATATCAACCTCTTCGTCAGCCACTGCATCATCGTCGGATGAATCATCCTCGTCTGTTGAGAAACCATAAAGATGTTCATCGTCCTCGGCATCCGAGTCTTCACTTTTTTCTGAAATAACTTCAGGCTCCTTCGCAGGTTTCGGTATTGGCTTCGGCTTGGAAATTAGATCAGCAGAAAACGATGTTCGTTTTCCAGGATTTGAAATCGACGATTTTGAAGCCGACTTGAGCGACGATTTTGGGGCCATGTCGATGATTTTTCGAGTATAGTTCAAGTGCCGGTGACCTAGCTATGATTACTATATATATTAGTAGATTAGTCCTCTTCAGAGGCTTTTGGACAACAAACCACAACAACTTGTCTGAGACTTCAATGATCCCATGAAGTTCGCTAATCCGCACCTCCAAGGTCAAGAGTTTGAGCTTGTGTCTCGAGCACAGCTTAGGTCTGATGTAGACCCCTTTATTGATGCGGACGATACATCTGATGTTGAGGTCACGACCTCGAAGCGCAAGCTGTATGAGCTCCTCTTCTCAGAATTTGAGCAGTATCTATCAACAACTCCTAGTCATCCTCGTAGGAAGAAAAAGCGATGTAATGGGAACGAGCTAACACCACCGGACGTACGGGATGGTCTAATATGTATGTATCCAAACTGAAACGTGTAAGACATGCTTCATAACGGCTCATCTATACAGCGTTTCGTCTGCTTTCCAGTACAGCACCTCCAAGGATCATATCAATTATCCCGAAACCTCCACCCAGGCCAAAGTACTTTATTTCACATTGAATTTTTCCTCCACTCATGATTCTCCTTCGTCTGAAGAACAAGACCCCCTGATTGCGAAGACAATCCTATCCAAGCTGACGAACGGATGAGACGCGCCCAGTCTGTAGCCGTAGACTTTGCACGGCCAGACGTGCCGTCGCAAAAGCACCTCAATGTGCGTAATATGCAGTATCCACAAATTTTGGCGTTGTAGAAAATCATCCCATCCAGCCATTTGTACAAGACAACCAGAAAGTCATTCGCATGAAAGGCAATTTACCAATTCCTCACCCTGCAGTGATGGTCACCGAAAGTCATCGACACAGAACAGTGCGTAGGCAGGCAATTGGACCAACAATAACTGGTGCCGTCGACTCCCCGCATTCATTGCGGGCAACCTGCATTGTTTTCCCTACTGCTTTCCCTGAGGATTTGCAACCCCATCGCAAGACACACGCCAAAGCAGTTAAGAAGAAGCGGTCTTACGAACGCCCGCCTCCTGCTTATTGGAGGCCAGATTCTAATCAACAAGGACAATGCGCGGGCTATGGATTGGGCTATCCAGGAAGTTGGAGTGTTCGTTACGAGGGCGATCCGAGGAAACGATGGTATGTGAGAGATACAATGCGGAAAGCGACTGTCATCACGTAGAGCTTCTTTGTTGCCATTGAGCGTGATTATTCTTCGAATCACATTCATGGACGTTTACTTTGTGAGTTGGAACTTTACTTAGATTGAGGCAGCTTTGAGTTCAATTGAGGCACCTTGAAGTGGTAGTCTTATAGACCTTATCTCCATTTGTCTAGTATGGTTCTAAACTCTAATGATGCCGTAGCAACGTTCGTGCACTGCACCGAACGAAGTTTGTCTTATCGGATTGTACAGTTCATCAATTGGACATACATTACAGGGTATACTGCATTTCCCATGTTCATAGTAGTTCCTCACTGACAAAAGCTCTCAGCATGGCCAGCATCAGTAGACTGCTTGTACCCCAGGAGAGAGTTTCGTTGTCGGTATCAACTCTTTCAACATGTTTCTTGCCGGCCTTTGTATCGTACCTTGCAATGGGCGTGCTGGTTCAACGAAAACGCACTGCAACAATCCGCTTTGCGCTTCTTCCAGTTATATTGCTGTGTGCATATCGAGCTGGCTCATCACTCGACTTTTCTTTCGGCACTCCCAACTACCGTTTTCTCAATCAAGGCTTAGTTGTGAGTGTACCGAATAACATATCACGAGGAGCTTTGTCTCATCCAAGTATTACAACTCAGCTTGCCACATTCACCCTTTCGATGCGATCGACTGCTTGGGCTTTCGCAAAAAAACCATACAAACGAATGACTTTGCAACCAAACAAAAATTTCCACGGTGATACCATGTCAGGCAACACAAGCAACCAGTTTACCAATATTGAGAATACCCCACTATATATCGCCATCTGGAACGTATGGGATCTATCAGTTAACCTTCGCGGGATTGGGTGGGATTGGGCGGAAGGCTTACGCATTCCAGAGAGCAGTCTTGGAACAAAGTCAACATTAGAGTTCCTGCTCATCACTCTCGCGAAGCTACTGTTCTATGCGCTCGCATTTGATGCTACCTCTGGAGCTACTCGCGATTTTTCGCCAGAAACATTTGGATCAATTGAAGGGGGCACAATATTTGACCCATCGCTGCCGCCTCTCAGTCGCTATACCCGGTCTACTATCATTACGATCCTCTCTGGTTGGACAGCATATTTTGTGATTGAATCGGTGTATCAGATACATGCTATTGAGTTCGTCTTGTTATTCAGACAAGCACCGTCTCAATGGCCGCCCTTGTTTGATGCTCCATGGCTTTCGACATCGCTGACCAATTTTTGGGGTCACAAGTGGCATCAATTGTTCCGGGAGTGCTTCATATCAGTCGGTGCTCGACCATTGTCATACCTACTTGGTCGCACTGGAGGGGTCGTGGGCGCATTCCTCGTCTCAGGCGCTCTGCACTATCTTGGATTGAAGGCAATGGAACGAGGTGGTCACCCTGTTGCTGTGTTTGGGTTCTTCATCATGCAGGCCATCGGCCTTATTCTTGAAGGCATATGGAAGAAACGTACGGGCTTACGTGTCGATGGATTTTTGGGCTTGTTGTGGACTTGGCTCTGGGTGGTCTTTTGGGCCAACTTCATGGTTGATGCATGGGGGAGAGTTGGTTTAGTCGGATCCAAGTTCTTCCCCGATGACTACAGACCAACAGTCTTACTTGTTCACTTGTTGGAACGTTATTTTATGTAATGCAGAAGCAATCGACGAGGCGCCTATAAACAGAGCAGACATCAATATTGATGCGCCGGCCGGATCTCCATTACTTTCAGACTTCTGACATTGCCTCCAGCTGCTGCCCCATCGTATTTGTCCAAGATTTGTGCGAATACCTCGGATGCGCGGCTCATATGCAAAATTCGGGAGATGCCTGCGTGTCAAGTGCGATGAAACGAGCGTTAGCTAGTCTCGTGTAGGGGAAGTTCACCGAGGAGCTCGCGAGGGTGTATTACAGTATCGGATCCACGGCCTGCCCCCAACCTTGACTACGTACTCGTTTTCTCGCTGATCAATGAGGCATTGCGGGGATGAAAGAATGCAGGCTCACCTCCGTCTGTCTGAGGTAAGTATACTACTTTCAGTTTGTCGAAAACATTGTAAATAGCGTGTTCAAGCTCAAGCATGGTGTCGTTGCAACTTGCAAGAAGGTTCGTCTACAAGCCTTTCTATATTCCGAATTTTTGCTTCGGACATTCTTGAGTAAGTAATACAGTAATAATACCAAATGATATTCCTTTCTTACGTAATTCTACCTTGCTGATGGTTGCCGAAGCCCTTTCGAACTTGAAGGCGAAGTAATATTGACTGTAACATGACCTCGACGCCCCCGCCAGCTGGTGCTTTTGTCGTCCCGCCAATACCTCGTCTTCCATCGACAGCAAGTTCGCGTAATCGAGTTTCAATAGGATCATCCTTCTCGTTTGGCCCGCAACCAATCATTTCCTCATTTTCTGCGGCGGATATGAGTGGCTCAGGTCGACCCCTTGCGCTTGATCCAAATCGTTCTATGCTTCCAAGCTCGCCAAAATCCTCGCTTCGGAGATACCGGCGAGCGAAAGAGAGCATAGGCCGTCATCCCCTTGCAAATGATTCCATGGATGTTTTTCAGGACACTGAGATGGAATCTGACAATGACGATGGCGAGTGGGGGATGATTGACCGCATGAGGCTGTGGCGGCACGATGCTTTGATGCAGCATCTGTATGAAACTGCCGCCTTCTGGGGAGACAAGATACTGTCATGGACCAGTAAGTCACGCTGCCTTGATGATTGTTATTGCTCTGGCTGTTCTTTTTTATTGATATATCTTCTGTGACGTGCAGATGACGCAAATGACGCGTTTTGGCTAGCTCAGACTTACTTCATGACCCATCAGTACGCGCGTGCTGAGAGACTCTTGACTAGGCCCTTTCCTGCTATGACACCAAAAGTGCAGAGTGCACCCTTGAATGGCCTTGAACACAGGCTAGTAGACGATCTTCAAATGGGTAGTTTGACTGCAGACACAAAAGGCAAAGGGAAGGAGGGGCACTTTGACACAAGTATAATGCCTCAATTGCCAATGGGTGACGCTGGCATGATGCAAATTCCTGAAGAGTTACAGGATTCCGTATCAAGACTTGTGGACATGAGTGTAGCATGCAGATATCTTGCTGCACAGTGCCAAGTACGGCAAGGGAATTGGACAGACGCGACAGAGATGCTCGGTGAAGCGAATCCATTCCGTCATTCAGGTTGATATCAATCATGTACGACTGCTACCATCCACTAACAGATCATTCAGCAAGGAGTGGGCCTGCCGTGCCGAATGTTGATGGTGGCATCAAGGTAAGCGGACATACATTTCTAACCACAGCATTTGAACCTTTGCTTGGTTGTGTAGGTCGAAGCTTCCATGTGCCATTTGCGTGGCATACTTATGCTTAAGCTGAACCGTGGAGACCAAGCAAAGCTTTGCTTCATGGAGGCATTAACTTTGGACGTCAAATGTTATGATGCATTCGACCAACTAGTCAGTGGTGAAATGATGACTCCGGACGAAGGTTAGGTCACAAGTATCATTGCTCATTTCCTGGTATTTGACTGCCATAGAATGGGAGTTTATCCAGGGTCTCGCTTACAGGGAACAAACGCAAGACGATGCCGATTTTGTGCAGCTCATATACACTTCTCAGTTGCGGAAGTATAAACATGCAGAAGAGCATGCCCTGACCCGGAGACGTCTTGTCGAGGAATTTGGACTTTCTGACAATCCCGATGTGTTATTCAGTTTTGCTGATGCACTCTATGCTCAATTCCGCTGGGCCGATTGTTATACTATCACGACAAGGTTAGAACGCCTGTCAAAAGGAGTTTCAATTCATCTCAGATGTCTCTTCACAGGATATTGGGGCTGGTTTCTATTCATGATCCTACCATGCCACTGCACATTGCCTGCATGTACCATCTTAACCATCTTCACTCAAAACTCTTTATTCTAGCACATGAACTTGTGGAGCGGGAACCTGAGAACCCTATTAGCTGGTATGCAGTTGGAGTTTGGTATCTTGCGTCTGGGAAATGGCCACAAGCCCGACAGTACTTCAGGTGAGTCTATTAGATCTTCTTTCTTCGCATGCTTGTGAAGCATCCACATCCACAGTAAAACATCACTTATGGATCCACGATTTGGGCCTGCATGGATCGCGTTTGCCCACACGTTTGCGATGGAAGGCGAGCATGACCATGCTGTCACTGCGTATTCGACCTGCGCTCGCATGTTCACAGGGTGAGGTTGTTCTCGATCAGCTGAATTGTGATAGGCGTGCTGAAGAAGCTCAGTTCCCATTTACCATTGCTATTTGTGGGCATGGAGCAAATTATGCTGTCCAATCATTTGTTAGCCGATGAAGCGTTGAACGCTGCTTACGCCGCATGTGATGGAGACCCTCTTCTTATCAATGAATTGGGAGTTATGGCGTTCACGCACGGAGAGTGAGCCCAACGCTGAGCCAATCTTCTGAGGCTCATGCTGATTGAATCAGCAGCTACCAGCGAGCAGCGGATCTTTTCAAACGTTCGCTCGAACTTGCTCAAGTGACGCAAAGCTCCCAGATGTCATGGACGACAACATACCTCAATCTCGGAACTTGCTATAGAAAGTTGAGGTCAGTTTAGTTTAGGTTGCTCGAAAGCGTGCATGACTGACGTGCTTGTCCCAGGAATTATGAGATGGCCAAGACAAACTATCAGCATGTGTTAGAAATTGAACCCCAACATCCTCAGGGTCTTGGTTATCTGGCCATGGTGTATCATCTCCTCGGAGAAATAGATAAGGCAATCATCAAATATCACGAGGTATGCTGCAACCTTTGGCGTGGTTTGTTCCTTAGGTCCACCCCTAACGTCCATCACGAAGGCACTAAGCATTGATCCCATAAACGGGCACTTAATTGAACTGCTGAACCTCGCATTGGAGTCTGACCTTTGTTGTGGTTCGTTGGAGAAAGTTTACCCCGGTGGCGAGGAAGCTTTTCGGGCTATGATGGTCTCTCTGAAGACCAAGGTCCTAGATGCCTCCAAAAAGCCCAAAGTGGATAAACCAGGTGCAGATGTGGCAATGAGTGTAGGTTGATGAGGGGAGACGATGTGTCGTTGTAGGTCAGTCTCCACTCCCACGCTGTCTTTGGCATACATGCAGTCCCAAAACGCGATTCCTCGAAATGGTGGGGATCTCCTGCCAAAGAAAGTAATGCTTCCAGCCTAGCAGTGTACCTGTTTCTTCCATCATTCGTCTGAATATACAGATACCTTTTGATGCCGAAATGCCGATGCTTCGTTCTCCACAGTCTCCCACAGCGGACAATACGTCGAACCATAAGAAAAACATCGGGGTGCAAGCCTTACGCAAGATGCACAGCTGTAATATGACCCTCTTTCGGATTGGGCAAAAATGACCCGATGACGCGGTGATGAACTCTGCACCACGGGCGTCTTTGGGTGAGACGCAACTTGACCACCTTCTCCAACGATGAGGTCTATAAACCATAACGCCGCTAGTAACGACATCTTTGCATGCCTACAGAATGATACCCCGGACTGGGATTTCTTGGTATGTTGCCAGTATAATTCTTGATTCTTTGTTTAAATGGGCTAGCAGGACGCCCTTTTATCTGAACTCATGATATCACCGACATTATCAGAGCAAGCATTGCTGTTTTACCGTGAATTATGTACCCATTTGAAAGCAGCAAACGATAGACTGCTTGCGTCAATGACTCCTCAGCATGCTCATCGTCTTCTGAACGTCTTCACATCCGTTGCGAACATTCAAGAAAAAGTAGATGGCAACACATCATCCACCCATTATGTGGATGCGATTGAAACGAGTATCCGTCTTTCACCACCGCTGTCTTCGGGAACCACGTTGACATTCCGGGATATCATTCTTGCCAGCTGGTTTGCATCGCTTGCATTTTCCACGCTACCGCCATCACCAGAACCGAATAATATCTTGGATGCAATCCAAGATCGTGCTAGCACCAACCATCTTCCACATTTCGACGACACTAGCTTGGCACTAGTGCATGCAGTCCATCATGCCAGTGACAGCTTCATTAATGCTATGCTGGATCCCATTACCGGAACACTGCCCAATGTCGTGCTTTTTCCAGATCAGGCGCAGATGCTGTCGGTTGTCGTTTTTGCTTCCCCACATACCGCTTCTGATGTATGGGCTGCTCTTCACTCTGGTCAATCGACCTATGAAGTCAAGACTGCAACCTCATCTGCGTTGCTTACCCTTGCACGGCGCATTCAGGAAGGCGCATTGATTGCTGACCTCGGTCTTGATCTTCCGCATTGTTCCAGTGATGCGCTGGTTCTCCTGCTTCACTATCTTGCGCTATCATTGTTTCCGAGTGCCTCTGCTTTCAATGATACTGGTGTTGTCCTGTGCGGCATGAGTAGCAATGCGGCTTCAAATACGCCACGAGTCACTTCTGGAAGGGATGTTGCCCGCCTTTATTACGAGAAAGGGCTGCAAATTGATCCCACGCATCCCCATTTACTTTCGAATTTCGGCTCGCTGCTGAAAGACGCGGGTCACAATGCCTGTGCAGTTGGGTGAGTTGTACCAACATTTGTGAAGACTTACATATACATGAAAAATGAAAGGGTTTTCAACCACGCTCTGCAACTACACCCTGAATTGGACATTGCACTGGTCAACATGGCAAATACCCTGAAAGATATGGTAAGCATTTCTTGCTTCTCATGCGAGCTGCTGTATCCAAACATCTTGGTTTCGCAGGACCGTCCTGCAGATGCGATTCCTTATTACCTTAAGGCTGTAACCATAAATGCAGGCCTGGTCGATGCCTACTGTGGATTGAGCATGTCTATGAACGCAGTCTGTAACTGGACAGCGCGAGGTAATGTGCGACCTTTTGCACTAATATAAGCTCAACATTCCACAGATCATTGGTTGACAAACACAATAGTGATATGTGAAGAGAACCTTTCGGAGCTTCATCATCAGAACATCGGCATCCTCGGTGAGAGGAGTGTTGATGACTGGCTTCTCAATGTAGCCTTAACTACATCAAGACCTCAATGCGACCACAGCTTGAGAAGATGGGTTCACCGATTTTGCCTTTTCACAGATGTTTCTGATGGACGACAACCTCTCCTCAACGAAGGGAGTTTCCTTATACGCCTTATCGACTGGTACCGGACTAGGATGCAACACCGACGTTACGTCGAAACTTACGGAGAGACACTCTACAGCGAAGAGGTGTCATATTCACAACTAAGGGCAGCTCCTACTGCGAAGCCGTTTGGCTTTGTCCTTTCCTTGGCGTCCTTACAAAAAGTTCCAACTGTACTCCCTTTTCATACTGTATGTCAAGTCCACGTCGATGTCTTTCTATTTTTAGCTTATATCCCCCGATAAGTTCACGCTTCCACTGCCTAGCCGCACCATTCGACGCATCGCACACAGAAATGCCCTTCGTGTGTCACATAATATAATGACGCAGATATCACCAGACAGAGTGCCATTACTGCCACGGCCTCCGTGGAAACGGCGTATTAACGTCGGTTATGTGTCCAGCGACTTCAGGTACAACTAGCTGACGCTTTGTTTCTCGCGCTAATGCTGACAATAGCATAGTGACCATCCCTTAAGTCATTTGATGAAGTCGGTTTTCCAGCTGCACGACCAGGATCGGTTCTGCATCTTCCTATATGCGACGAGCCCGTCAGATGGGTCAATCTTCCGACAGTACTTTGAGCAGGGCGATTTCAACTTTCTCGATGTCTCTTCGTGGTCAAGTGTAGACATAGTTAACAGGATTGAAGAGGATCATATACATATCCGTGCGTCGCATACCTCCTTCAGGACGTGTCATTGATGCAATAGCATAGTTGTCGACTTGGGCGGTTATACCAGAGGAGCGAGGAACGAGATCTTCGCTGCAAGGCCAAGTCCCGTTCAGATCTCGTTGATGGGTTATGCTGGAACATTGGCGGCCAGTGGGTTTTTACCCCATATAGTCCTGACCATTGCCACCCTGACCTGTCATGTTGCTCAGGCTGGTGCGACTATCTCGTCTGTGATAGTATCACATGTCCTGTCGACCTATTTGCACGGGTTCGAGCATATCGAAAACGAAGCCTAAATTATTGCTGCCAGCACAGTGATTTTGGGGTTCCAGTAGGAGAGGAGGGTGATCCAGAATCATCCTCTCCCCATTGGATCTAGTATGTTCTTCTAGACATTTACTTCAGATCGAGGCTAATATGAATTTAGCACGGAGTGTCCAATATATATGCCAGTAGGTTCTTTTACTGCTGCCTGGGCATCTTTAGCTTTGAACCCTTTCGTTAGCATACATATTTTGTCACCGACCACAGGCAGTCTTATCGACATGGCGCAAATCTTTCTGTGGAGGAGCGTGCGCAGATGCCAGCGGAAAAGCTATGGAATGATGAAATCAAGTGTAGAGCAGATCTTAGACGAGCCCTGTTTCCTGATTTACCCTTGTAGGTGCCGCTACCGCGTTCTTACAGCCCATTTTGATTCTTGTTCTAGGAATGCTATCATTTTTGCCAATTTCAATCAAGTACGAGTCCTTTCGCTGTTGTTCACTTGCTGTTGTTGATTTTGTCTTTGAACCACAAAGTTGTATAAGGTTTGGACTGCAATTTTATTATACGTGAACAACTGACAAACAGCGACCAAACAGATCGACCCCGTGAGTCTCTGGCAGTACTTAATGTCGTCAACCGGTCGCTGAGTTCGTGTCAGAACATATTTGCAACTTGGCTTCGTATTCTAGCCCGGGTTCCACGTAGCATTCTTTGGTTACTGCGATTTCCCACTGCTGGAGAAGCCCATCTGATCCAAACTGCCAAGGAGTGGGCAGGCGACGAGATAACATCACGTATCAGGTTCACGGATGTTGCTGAAAAAGACTATCACATCTACCGATGCCGAGTTCCTGATCTATTTCTGGACACGTCAGAAGTAAGTCTTTGACGATCAGTGCCCCTGCACAAGCTGACTTGTTTATTAGTGCAGCGCGCACACTGTAGCAGCCGAGTAAGTGGTTGCATTCACATGCCACAAGGTTGAAATTGACTGTATATTATCCAGCGTGCTCTGGGCCGGCACACCGATACTTGCTTGTGCCTGGCCTAGTCATCGACACAAGATGTCTTCTAGGGTCGCTGCGAGCTTGGCCAGTGCTACGGGGTTTGGCGAGTACATGGTGGTATCCAGTAGGGATGAATATGAAGAACGCGCGGTGGCCCTAGGGAATAGCATATGTTACACTGTGCAACCCAATGGCGATGGGGAAATAAGTGGGGACCTGCTTGACCTGCGACGGCGTCTTTTCTTAAACAGAGATACTATGCCCTTATTCGACACGGAGCGATGGACAAGGAACTTGGAGAAGGCGTATTGGATGGCTTGGAGGCGGTGGGTGGATGGCTCTATGTTTAGGATGAGTGACGATGGTTGTATCTGGGTCAAGGACGATATCGATGTTCCCATCCGCATGGACTGATGAGATACCCCACCCGTGTAATGAATCACTCACGTACTCGATGTGCGCTCGATAAATGTTATGTAGTATGTTGGTGCACGAATGCACGTGACTAGTAAGGACACTCCTCAGACGGCCTAAGAAACTTGACGTAGACATCGGTGAGAGGTATGTATGTCCTCACATGAAGCCCCGTTTCAAATAACAAACGAGGGCGATTCGTTGATGCAAGTTCGACATTATTGGCCACGATACGTACATGGCGAGAAGATTGTAGTACATCTAGTACAATATTTGCCGTATCTCTCTCCTCATTTCTTCCTCCAACTAAGCATAGCGTATCTTGACGTTTTTTGACGCGTGACAGTGCAGTATATAGATGACCATCTAGAACTGGTTCTCGAGATTGTCAAGCAGTTGGTTTCGTGGCGAGAGAAATGTGCGGTCAAGGCACACGCAAGCATCCGCTAGTATGTGCGACGGGGACAGAAAAGCTCGCGCTTCGTCGATCTCTGTTGTTTTATTTAACAGCGGAAGGCTTTGGCGATTGCCTGTGGTGTCTTCGCCAATGTTGTCAACGAACGTAGTGAATTGAGGATTTGCGGCGGTGCGTACGGGGGTGTGCAATGAAAGTACCCGCATTTTGCGCCACACAGCAACCACTAAGTCACTGTCAGGGAGAGCAATGTCGAGTCTAATCGTATCAGTCGCCATAGTGCTGGAAGACAAAAGGATGGCAAGGAAATCTGAGACAGTGGCAAGAAGATCAGAGCGTGCGTCAGCGCTGCACAGCATGACGGGGAGACATAATTGACACCGAGCCGACGGTATCTCGTGCTTATATATGTTAGATACGCTTTGGATTACCATCGTTTATTAGCCTCAAATGTGCGAATGGGGATGAAGGGAGACTGACCTTGTAAGGGTCCTTGGGATGAACGTAAACTCGCTCATCCTCTTCAAACCACACATCAAAGCAGCTGAGAACTCGATCTTGAATAACCCAACCAAATCCTTGGTGTTGCTCACTTGATCTATGAACTCAGTCACAGCGTTTCTTACTTTGCATTCATCGCCGACCAAGTCATACAACTTCGTTCCACACTCTCTGCGATCTGTCCAGGTCGGAAAAGAAATAGGTGGGGTAATAAGGTTTCTCCCAGGTATATATGTATTGGATTGTCAGTGAGTGCTCATAATGAGCGGAAAAATGTGCGCTATAGCTGCTTCACAACGACACGTAATCTGCTTTTATGAATTATGTTTGTCGGCGAGCCACTGGGTCAAACCGTGTATTATGCCAAGAAATGACCTGCAAGAGGGGATAGCTACAAATCTGATGTCGAGGATAAGACGCCATAGCGAATTTGGAAGGTGCACCAAGTCTTTGATCTCTGTAATTCGAATTAAATATCACACGAAGAAAAAACTACTCAGTAACTCACTGTTGCCCTCGAACGGAATACTTCCGCTACGTGCACCGAAAACGGGCCCTCAGGATCAGGTATATCTTTCATCCTCGATAACCAGAGGGTGCAATCTGTCATAAATGTAAATGAAGGGCCCAAAGCAGGTTTTCTGATTGTTGATGCAAATGCAGAACTCTGATTGAATGGTGCAGCTGTTGATGTTCCGTTGATCACCTAGATAAAATAAGAAGCAGGTGCGAATTCGTGTAACAACCTCACCATGATAGTGATCCCGAAAGTCCGAGCAAGCTCGCGTAATCGGCGCATAAACGTTGTCATCATGGCATGTCCTTGGGAAGATACCGCACTTAGGGACGGTAGTAAAAGTGGGGTTATGGAATCGAGGACTATCCATTGGACTGTTGGTCCAACAATCCTAGAGCTCTGCGATACATAGCATGATTCAGGAACGAATAGGCGCAAAAGGAGATAGAGGCATACAGAAAGTGAAATGCGCAGCGCTTCGAGGACATCGTGCATTGCCTCGATGTTGAAACCCAAGGATACCTGCAATCTCTCTAGCACCTTATCAGATACCTGGCATTCCTTCGTTAGATTCTCATCACGAAATTGACGAAAAATTTACTGCTACATCAAAATGTCGCACTAGCTGAGCAGTCTTCTCTGCAGAGAAGTCGCCGGATGTATCTATCCATAAAGCACAAGAATCTGCATCAGAAAGAAGATGCTGGATCACTACTTGCAGCGCAAGTGCCTGTCATCTTCGTTGTAAATGGAATGCCCCTCAAAAACATACTTTAACTCATCTGACCGTTTTACCCGACCCTTTAGCTCCAGATATTTCAAAAACTCGAGAGCCACCAAAACCACCAACAAGTTCATCTAGTTCCTTGACACCACAGCTGACTTGAGGATGTTTCTCAGATATCCGTGCTGTGCCAGCAAGAAGCTCGTCTCCTCGATATCCAGGGACCGATGCTTGTTCTGCTACTAATTCGGTGAACTTTTGAAGGTCTGAAAGCGTTACGGTCCCGAGTGGTAATCTTTTGATGATGTCCAAGCTGGAACCAAAGAAGATAAGATCGGTGTCTGTTCGGATACCACATGAATGGTCGAGTGCTGCTACCAGTTCTGCAGAGATCAAAGGAACCACTGATGCTAAGCGCATAATGTTAATGACGAGTTAAGAAATGCGAATTGATATGATATCAAAGAACATGGCAGATCAAATACAAGGAAGACTTAGACAGTCGTTTCTTCAAAGATCATAACAGCGCGCAACGTTGTTGATCGCATCAACACACACACAACTTACTTTCGTTCCACAACCTGCCTTTTGGAGCCATTTAAAGATCCTTCACCGGTGCACCATTCAACCCAGTCATTCGGACAACATCAACTGATGGCTGAACCTCCCCAGACTGATGTCTCTCGTCCCTCGGCATTGCCTACAGCCAAGTTGCTTCAGCGTCCCACTTTCAATCAAGCTCTTGTCGATCAGAACTCGGATGAATACCTTGATACCATCGAGGAAGAATGGAACAAGAAGCTAGATGCCGAGGTAGAAGTATTGGTCGATGGTATGGTCGATATCGTTAGTCTGGCATCGGTAAGCGCTATACGTGCCTTCTCGAGCTGTACCTCAACCTCTGTCAGATCGGAGACAAGGACAAGTTTCGAATCGCACAAGAGTCATTTCAGGCCGAATCTCGTGCCGAGTCTATGGTACGAAAACAAAACCTGTCCACTACAGATTGCTCATCATCGAAATGATCCAGGTCCGTGCAGCTAATTCGCTGTTGTCCATAACGCATTCGTTGAAGTTACTGCTTCTCTTGTCCGACGAGGCTCAAATTGCCCACCGTCGGGATGCAGAACTCAAGCACGTACAACAGGAAAAGAATGAAGCTCGCCAGAAAGTCGCCGAGCTTCTCGATAGGTTGATGAATCCAAAAGGCGACCCGTCGTAATGAGACGTCATTCCCTTATCGTCGAATCCACCCCGGCCTTTTTCAGTCATCCTGAGGGAAAGTCCCGATATAAAGCTCACATCTTGCTCAGTCTTCCTCGCGGAGGGTTATTTATACATTTCCGGCACCTCTGTACTGCCACGGGCCCAACTCTTGTCTCCACATCTTTTAGAATGCAGAATGTATCACTCGCATTCAATTGTCGTAGTGCAGTCAGCACTTCCCGGCGATCGAGTTTGGCTGAAAAAAAGCTATCTTTCCTAGGTAGCCGCATGAATACGGCTGTTACTTACGTGGAGCAGTTTCTCAAATCTCCATCTTGGCAGCACATCACCATGTAACTTGCCCAGACGCATCCAAGTAGTTACCCCGATATGAATATCACATCTTCATTTCTGCTGCGCTCTACTCAAATTTCATCTCACTCATAGCCAATTCCCTCTAAAGCACATGTGGAATCCTCCACCAGACATGTAGCGATGTAACGCGGTTGTCAATTTATCAATCCACTCACCACAGCCAAAGCTACGGGAGCCCATGCATTCAACTGTTTACCTGTCACTGCGGATGTTCGCCCGATCATAGAATGAATGCACTCAGTCCTTGGACACAGCAAGTCATCAAGCGAGTATCACAACTTTCAATCAGTCTTTCACGGTACAACAACTTTCTCTACCTATACCATGTGCCAGATCTTACATGATTATCGATCAGTCTCACAGCCATTTACTATCTCTATTACAGGTGACAATTGATGCATGACGAGAATTAACTAATGTTCGCATTGTCTACGTATGAAGAACGACAGGACTCGCACAAAAATCTTGTACATGTTACTGTGTGGTTCTCCGTCACATCACTTTCGTTTTCTCATTTTCAGTTACCAATATGATACACTACGTTGTATGAGGTATACAGGAATAAATTGTACTTCTAAAAGTCGTAAGTAAAGAATGAATATTCGGGCCACTAAGTGTCCACAAATATTTTTGAGAAGTACTTCTTCACGCCTTCCGTACCATGAACTATCGCCCCAATCACTCCGTCCGGCCGTATCACAAACACCCTCGTCTGACCAGCTTCCATGAGGTAAGCCGAATAAGCATGGCCCTCCCGATCAATAAGAACGAGATCAGCAGGAGATGCGACAGACGTTACTGATGCCGATGATGGCAGAACGACTGCCGATCGTACGACACTTTTGTCGTATGTCTCCAGTGAACCCAAGATTGGGGTAGCATCAGCGAGACTCGGCGCAAATACAAGGATTGTGTGGTACCAGGGTCTGTACAAACTAAAAAGCGTCGTCGTACCAGGCGCTGCACGCCCCACCTGCAGCATATTGGGCGCATCAGGTGCCCTGTCCCCGGCCTCCAGGTGCCCCTCGTCAAGCACCCCATAAGCGTTGATTGGCTTCTCCTCGACCGAAGTCACAAATTCATCGAGTACGATGGTGCTGAATCGGCAGTTGATGCCGAGCATGAACAGGATGGGACTTCGTTCGATCTGCGCGCCTTTAGATGCCATCGACTTGTCGAGAATCGAGGTGGTCACGCCGAGCATCTCGGAGATCACAGGCAGACGCTCGGCGCTGTATGTCTCGAGAAGAGATTTGTTGGCGAGCCCTTTCTGGACGAGCGCAAGCTTCCATCCTAGATTGAACTGGTGTAGGGCGCGGTCAGTTGTAACACACATGCTGCATCTACCCGACTCACTGCATCTTGTACGCCTGAATTGAGTCCCTGTTTATAGACAAATGAGCAAGTATTAGCAACAATCGAATCAACCATACCTGACCACCCGTTGGGCTATGGACGCTTGGATGTGTTAGTGGCAGTTCACGAAGAAGCATTCAAAGATAGCATACTGAGCAGCATCTATGACGACATGCATGAGCATAGCCATGCACATCTCGAACAGAACCACATACCGCCTGCAACAAACACTCGACCCTCGCTAAACTTATTCACCATCCGGATATTAGGCCTGGAACGAACAGATGAACGCGCATCAACACAGACAGAAACACAAAACGCACCGGAAGTAGCTCATCCAAACCAACTTGCTGAATGAAATCTCTGTTGGTATTAACGACACGATGGTCTCGAAAACGAGCTTTTCGTTCTCAGCGATCTCAATCAAATCTAGTTCGCGGCCAAAGAGGAAAAATTGCCAGCCGTCATCGCCAATTTCGTCTGCTGGACGCAATGAGAGGCTGCATACAGTCAATATAGATGTCTCCAAGCTCAACGGAACATACCCTCGTTCATTCAAGTTTCCAAATTGGTGCCAATGCTTCAAGACTACATTAGGATAGCTTTCCATGAAATATGTAGAAAACGGACGTACCAGTCTATCGAGGTCAACGCCCATCAAGCAGATATCTCCAGTCACCATCTGGGCATCGTCTCTAGTCTCGCCCAAAAATGTGAGGCCAAGTTGCTTGCGCACGATGCCTGCAAAGCCACTTTCAGTCTCATGCATCCCAATAGAATTAGCTGCGTCTCACCTTTAGCACCATCAGCGCCGATGATCCACTTGGTGTCAAAAGTCTCTGATATGCCATTCTTTGCTAGAACAGCAGTGACGCCCTCATCGGACTGCTCGAACGAGCGGAGTTCGGTGCCCATCTCGACAGAACAAGAGAATTTCTCTAGGTGACGTCGCAGAATCACATCTAGGAGTTGTTGACCCATCGATCTGTGGCCATTCTAAAAACCGAGTCAGCATGAAGGTTTGATCAGGCGACGGTGTTGCACACGAATGGTATTGCTGGAGTAGGTTCGACATGCGGGACCAGCACTACGTCTTTCAGAGTTTCCAACGTCCCGGGCTTGTAAAAACGAATGGGAGGGGCTGGTTTTGCCAAACTAATGACTTCTGTAACGCCCAGGAAGTTGTAGAGTTCGCGGGAACGTGGCTACATAGAGCATGCCTTCAGTGAGACCGGCAGTGTGACAAGTGGATGTGCGACAAACCCATATTCCAGTACCACGCTGTCCGATGCGAGGATGGGGGTCTTTATCGATGATGCGAACTGGGATACCGTTTTTGAGGAGCGTCAACGCTGCTACCAGACCCACTGGCCCAGCACCTACCTAACATGGAATTCAGCTGAGGAGCAAATATGTGTCATAGGCAGGTCACTTACGATTAGCACGGGAGGATGAACAAAATTCATTATGATATAGCAATCACACTGACAGCAGTAGGAGTAATGAGTTCGAATTCCAACAATTTGGAAGGGAAGCAGGTAGTTATAACATGGAGACGGGGCCGATTAGAGCAATCAGAACAATCCGATCTAGAGCTGGCTATGCCGCATCGAGTCAGGAAATTGGTTGCAGACAGGCTGCGGAGCTTGCCTTTTCCCCATAGAGCCGAGCAAGAGCACAGTTTGTTTATCTGACACCATGGTAGAGTCGTCGGAACCGAAAAGGAGAGGTCTGCCACCCGTGATTCATGCTCTATTTCGGAGGCCTGCTTGAGTAATTTAAGATATACATACGTGTAACGTGGGTGCCATGCACCCAGGTGATTGATAAAGAACATGGCAAAGGGAGGCTTGAGAACAGTTAGAGACGACAAAAGAAAGGCAAGTGCCGAGGAAGTTCGGAACGCCTGATATCGACTCTTGAAGCTTGAGGGATGAATGACATTATCACATCGTTGTGTTTTCATGATGAATAGTAGGCAAACTTGGACTGCGCCAGCTGGCATGCGATAATCGTAATACAAAAGTATGTTATATCTTACAACGTCTTCTCACTGGCAATCAGTTCCTCCAGTTTATCGACATGCGTACCGCTAAGTTGTGCAACAGCCATAAGCGGCCGTCGAACGTGAATTTCTCCATATCCGAAATGCTCGGATATCAAGGCCTTCATAGCACCAACTCCTCCAGCCTTGCGTGTTGCCCAATCTCCCTGACCTAGTTGAGCTTGAATTTTCATAGCCTCCTCGATCTTTCCTGCCTGGTAAAGTGCGTACATCTTCATGTGTAGCTTAGGCACGAGGTTCGGCAACGCAGCAATTGCGCCAGCACTTCCAGAGAGGAGTCCTTGTAAGAGGACCTCTGATACACCAGCAAGAGTGCAAAATTCGGAAGGCGGCTTGACAGCAGTGATTCGGTGGAGCTTTCCAATGTTTCCGCAAGATAACTTAGTGCCCACAATATTGGGGTGCTCTGAGAGTGTGAGGATGATATCGGAGTCCAGGTCGATACCAGCAGTGACAGTTGGGAAGTTGTACACCATGTACGGCAAAGGTGAATAATCTGCAACCTACAAGTTCGAGGAAGTCAGGGACTCAGTCCAGTCGATTTAATAGAAGGCTTACTTCACGATGGTAACGGATGATGTTCTCTTTCGTCATATCTCCAGGCCAGACGGAAGGTGTCAACACGAGTACAAAGGCAGCACCAGCATCCTTTGCATCTGCGCAGAGCTTCTTCGTCTCTCGTGCAGATTGGGCACCGCAGCCTGCAATGATAACAACGTTCTGGAAGCCGTTTTCATCCAGCGTCTTTCGAGTAAGGCTGATCGCCTCTTTACGCTCGTCATGTGACAAATGTTGAGCCTCTCCATTGCTTCCCTGCACGACAATACCTGTAACACCTCCCTGAGCGGATCGAAATGTTATTGACTGACATCAGGGAATTATAAGGTTTGTTTGCACCTGAGCGAGCCGCAAAACATGAGACTTTATAGCAGGGACATCAAAGTCCTCGTTCTCTTTGAAGAACAAGACAGCAGGCACGTAAATTCCGGAAGGGGGTACCGCAGCTGGCATGTTGCAAAAACCAATCGATTGGGTTGATAATCGCTGCTCTAGCAGTTATATGGGATCGGGCTCGCGGCATCATCATCGTCACCATCTGGCGGAGCTCCGAGAGCACGGTTGGTGACACGGTCAGCTGGGGAACGGGCCGGTAATGTCAGTCACTGCGGAAACGAGAGAATAGTCAAGCCGGATTAGTGTAGGGACAGAATCCATATGCGGGATATCAACAGATGAGTCGTGTATGTAGGTGTGGAATTAGAACATCAAACTTACGTGGTTATGATCATGCGCGTCAGATCACGTATACTGGCAGCGGGGGGTTACTTGACCCTCCGAATGGAATGACATTTGCTTCCGCTCCTTGACTCAAGGACCTGCCAGATTAAGTGTACTTATTTCGATCAATTTTACCGAAATTTAGTGACCACTTCACAAAATCACAATCGATTTTCTAATCATCTTGAACTTTTCCATCATCTACCACGTTCTTACCATCGTATCCAGATTCCAGGCTTTATAATTGTGATGATCCGGGTTGTTTCTACATCACAGTTTGATGGACGCGATCTGAATGTAGTACGCGTGCAGTGGTAGGGCTACTCTACGCGAGCGATGGGACATTATAGGGCAGGGTTCAACAGATCTATGATATCTGGAAGATTGAAGATGACATGCGAAAATAATCAGGCCTGCGATGTGCGATCTCATTGTGTTCTACCGTTGACTGATCAGCCCAACTGCTTTCCAGGCTAATAGTACTTTATCATGAGTGCTGAGCACTGAGCACTGAAGTACGAGCTGCTGGCTGGTGGGGCACAACGTGACGTGTCATTTAACCCTGACTTATACAACTGTATCGCCACTCTTGTATCTCGTCACAACATCTTGGAATGCATCGTTCGCATCACCTACAAGGAAGACCTCAAGAATCCAGGTCATAAATACTGATACAAAAACTACGCACTCGCCAGCACCGCGGCAGCATCAAACCATATAGTAAGAGACATAGTATGCGAATCCACTGACTCCTCCGAGCCGTGCATGCAGAAACTAACGTAAACAACAGTATCGTACAGGGCATCCAAGACTGCTGCCGAGGCCGGTTGACGGCCAAAACTCGAATCACAAGAAGGTCGCAAAAGAAACTGGAAATTTGTCCCAAGGGTCAAGTGAGCAAGCATGGAAATGCTAGCTGAGAGATGAGCACTCGTCAGGAATCCTGCCAGGATCGTGCCTCACCAATCAAGCAGACGCACTGAGACCCATCGCTCGGGCTCCTGCACCGATACTACCTTCCCATCCAAAGAACCGTTCATTCTTTGGTACAGAGCCCACGCCAATATAGCTGTCATTGTCCATTCCCATCTCGAACCACTCTTCGTCATCCCATCTCATATGTGCGTTCTTCGTGTGCGCCCAGACGGAGATGAAGACTATTCGCTTTAGCTTAGGGTTGAGGAAGAACCAGTGCGAGGACCACAAGAGTGCACCACAACGCCGCTTTAATCGCACATGGGCGAAGTTATTGCGCTCGGGCGATTCGCCACTACTCGTGCTGCCGCTGTTATACCGGAAGGGTATACGATTTTGCAGGGACACGGAAGCGGGTCTTGAGCTGGTAGGATCCGGAAAGAACTCGTCTACGTCATAGTCATCAAATTCGAAAGGGGGTTCATCGTCTGGGTCGTCGGACGAATCCTCATCTGCAACAGATGCGACATCATCTTCATCGTCAGAATCATTGGCGTGGGGATCAGAATCGATATCTGGGGAGTATGAGAAGACTTGGCAATCTGCGAGACCAATGACATCATCCAATATACGATACAAGGTTGGGTGTGTGCCAGAAACTATCTGGGGAGGTGCATGGGGGCTGGACACCATGTGGTGCAGAGGTGATGATGAGGTAGTTGGGACAGAAGAAGGAAAAAAAATGGACGACGTGGGAGGATAAGCTGAGTATGTGCGTGGTACGCTCATGCCAGCACGGTGAGGAGAGAGAAGGGTTGTGCTGAGAGAATTTAGCACGCTCGCGCCGTTTTTCTCTTTGTTAAAGTGTGCGGGTCTGACATCTGAGAACTCATAGTCAGGGAATGCGATGTTAAGGGTGGCTATGAGAAGGTAGAGTGTCTTGCGAGATGCCTGCTTGTCCATAGGGCCAAACGGGGTGAGCTCAGGCTCGCGATCAAGCCATGAAGGAAGTGGCGGTGAATGGGAGAGCTCGTCGTTGTAGGCATGTTCAAGGGACTTGAAGAGTTTCTTGTCGCGTTTGATGTTCTTGCAGCTATATGCTTCAATACGAGTGTGTACGGAGCATTCTGGGCCCTCATGAGTGAGCGCTTGGGAAAGGCGTGATAACTCGGGGAATTCTATATATTTCATAGTCGTGAGGAATGATGTCGAACGGTAGTTGGTCGTCGTGAGCCGCAGCGAGGAAAGGAATAGAGCGAGGCGAGTGGCTTGACGAGCGGATGTTTGTCATTTCCGATTCTGGATGCACAGCTTCTCACTTGAAATTCTATTAATATTATGCCTTGATCATGCTGAGGGGACAGCAATATATATTTGCCGACTTTCACTTTCTGTGAGCCGGAAGTACTATATTGAACAGCAACAATTAATGGCCATTTGTGCTTCAGTGAAAGACGAAATAAAATTACAAAATTCAAACAAAAATTAACAGGATGATATCAAGTTTACTCTTTCTTTCGCAATCGGTCAGGTTTCGTCGCCTGCCACATGATCAAGGTGGTCGCACGTTTCTAAACCATGGTCTTTTGATCCACTAGGTTGCTGCCAGGAGTCAAGTTGTGTCATGCAAAAACGTTTGTGCGGCGTGATCTATAAGGATTCCACGCTTGACGCGGACGCCTCAAACTGCTTGTACAACGTGCATGCACGTGGGTGTGAGATACATAACTGGCTGTCTCGTCGCTGTATTCCACAGCCGCACGGTGTTATCCTTCGAACCAGACGCGATGCCAGTACCATCCGGTGAGAACGAAACTGAGTAAACTGTGCCAGCGACATGGAACGAAGCATGGTCGAGTGAACATCATCTGCGAAAGAACTGAATCATTTATGACCACGGGTGCAATCGACATTGCCGCAGTGGACGGCGCCCACGATAACCATATCTGCAGCCAATGTATGCAGAGCTAATGAGTGAGCCCGAGGAAACGAGATACACCTTCATTGAGGAATTTATATGGTGCTGGTAGCTCGAGGCTTTCGTGGTACAGAGCACGTTTAGATTTGGCCGCTACAAACATTTCGGGGGGTCAGTGACTCAGAGACTTGATACCCAGGAGGGGGGACGCGTTACTTACGTTGAGGAGTCGCTATGCTGCAACAGTCTGAATGGCTGGAGCAGGCTGTGGCAGAATCATTTCTGGGCTTGTTCGGAAGTGCCTGCTCTGTTCAGGAAGCGGCCGGGTGTGGCTGCGGCTGTACTTAGTCATCCGGCAACCGCCGGAAGCGGAACAAACAGGCACCCATAAATTTGCTTCCTTTACCGGACTGCCTAAGGACTGCCCATAACCACCAACCACAAAGTCTTCTTACAGTCTTTGTCTACTTAAACCCAAAGCCCATAACCTAGAAATTTCGCGGTCTTCCCCTAGCCCACGATTGCTTCTCAAACGCAAATTTTTTCTATCTTCTGTCCTACTCGAGGAGAAAACAGAAGACTTTATTTCATGCTTCGACCTCCACTCAATTTATCGGCAAATACGTGTTTGTTTCGGAGAAAGTCCATAAGTACTGTATGTCGTTTCCATCATCTGCGACATGCTGTCCATTGACTAGGTCATACTGTAGCGTTAAACATCTGCCCAGCATGGCTTCCGCAGGAATTGTGAATATTCGTCGTGATGTCGATGACAAGTTTTACCGCTACCGCATGCCGCTCCTTCTCACAAAAATTGAAGGCAAAGGAAATGGTATCAAAACCGTCGTTCCCAACATGGCAGATGTCGCTCGTGCCCTATCTCGCCCTCCCACCTATCCTACCAAATTCTTTGGCTGTGAGCTCGGTGCACAGACCTCCTCTGATGACAAGAATGAACGATACATCGTCAACGGCGCTCATGACGCCTCTCGCCTTCGGGAATTGCTTGACGTCTTCATCGACAAATTTGTCCTTTGTCGTTCATGCAAGAATCCTGAGACAGACCTTATCATCCTCAAGAGCGGTCGCAACGAGGATATCGTCAGGGATTGCAAAGCTTGCGGTGAGAGGACGGACGTCGACATGAAACACAAGCTCGTCACCTTTATTTTGAAGAACCCGCCTAAGAACCCCAAGAAGAGCAAGAAGGGGGGCAAGGGTGAGACAAATGGAAATGGCGGTGGAGTACACGCGTCAGCTCCATCTGTTCCTGGTGACGAACATAGTGGTTCTGGTGGCGATAGCGATGATGAGCTTACCAAGAAGATCAAAGCCGAAGCTGCTGAGCTTACCACAGAAACCAAGCTTGGAGCTCAAGATTGGTCGGCTGATACCTCTCCCGAGGCTGTCAAGGCTCGCGTTAAGGCGTTGGAGAGTCAGGTTGGCGGACTATCACTTACGCCTGCTGGCGGCTTAGGAGATGATGAGGGCAGTGATGACGATGTCAACAGCCCTTACGCTCAGTTTGGTCGTTGGGTCGAAGAGAACAAGGGCGAAGCAGGCGTTAGTGCAGTGCAGATCTACCAGAAGGCTCAAGAGTTTGGCGTCGAGAAGAAACACAAGACTGTCCTCGTTCTTGTTCAAGCGCTGTTCACTGAGGATGTTGTGAAAGAGATTAATATATACAAGGCCCTGCTCGCCAAGGCTTGTTCTCCTCTTACTGATCTACGCGGATGTTGCTAACTTGATGTGCAGATGATCACCTCCGAGAAGCACCAGAAAGCTCTCTTGGGTGGAATTGAGCGCCTTGTTGGGCTCACCCACCCCGAGCTCATCCCTTCTGTGCCAAAAATCCTAATGGCATTGTACCAGATCGACGTCTTGGAAGAAGACGTGGTGACTCAGTGGGGTACTCATGTCAGCAAGAAGTACGTTGATAAGGAGACGAGCAAGAAAGTGAGGAAGGCCAGCGAGCCGTTCTTAAAGTGGCTTGAGGATGCAGATGATGACGAATCTGAGTGATGGGTGGATATGTAGTCCTCATTTATGTTTATGTGTTTACTTTTCATATCTTGTCTTTTTTGTTCGCTGATAATAACATGCTAGTTTTGTTTTCGTTGGGAATCCCCGAAAGCGCCCCTATGTACTGATTTCGACAGTCATGTCATTCGCAGCTTCTCCATTTGCTCTACCTCGTATTGAGCCCTGCATGAAGCGCGTGAGGGTGCTTTTTTGGGGAATATATGTAGTAGACAAGGCACGCAAAACTTGTGTAAGTTGTCGCATGAAGTCCGAAGTGATTCCAAATTACAAGGTAAGTTAAGTATACGATGCATCCTTCCTAAACGCCCTCTATCATCGCCTCCCTCGAAGCATGAAGTTCATTGCCCCAAAACCTTGAGAAGCGAGACGGCTGATATATATCCCGCTTTTGACTCTGAACAGCATTTTTCGTGTTTGTCATGAATATGTCGTTCTGAGCTCCATCTTTAAAATCATAAAGGTCGTTATAAAAAGGAGGACCCATGTAGTCCTCAAACATCTAATCAGACCCGGTTCAGATTTAATATCACGTGAAAAGTTTCTAGCGCTCACGTTGTTGCCTTCATCTTGCAGCCAGTACAATGGCTGCTTCGCTCCGTGCGTACAGTTGCTAGGGGTGGGGTGGGTAATTCCGTGTTCAGGATCTGCTCCGCAGCGTCTTGCAACTTGAGGCTTCATAAGAGCTGGTGCATCGTGCTTAGAACCCGCTACTGTGCACTGGAAGGCATTCATATACACTGGAAGGCACCGAGTCAGGATGACAGGACAGCAAAGGAAACCGCCTTACTCTGTTCAGAACCGCTATCAGGAGAGTGGATCCAGAACCATGCACACGTGCATTTTCCGCCGGGACAGGCAGGCATGTCAGCGGGAACCTATCGTTGTTGTTGTTAAACTGGGTTCAGAAGATCTTTGGCCACCGTACCTGAAATGCGGTGAATCTGTGCCAGACGCAAGTCTGGTTGACGCTAAAGACTGTAAAGTCCTCTGGTTTGATCTTGCTGACGTCCGATTCATAAACAATGGCAAGTGCACAACCTTTTACGTCGTCGATACCTGTGGTATGAAACTGGACAGAAGTGGATCTGGGGCAAGGCCAGTCCCCCTGACGAACATCTCCGCTGTATCATTGACCTCATTATACATTTTGATGGAGGATGCAATCAATCAGATGACTAACCCTTCGGACGAATTCCACCATGTCGTTGCGCCCTTGTTGCACCCGAGTTCTGCAACGGCAGCTTTCCCGGCGGGCAGTTCAAAGACATCATTTGGGTGCGGAGGATACCGAAGGTGGTTGTGAAACCACCACTCGTCAAACGTCATACGCGCCAGGGGAACAACAGGGCGGTTGTCGTAAGAATACGCTGGGTCCTTGTCTGTGACGTTGAAGCCCCACATGCTCGGATGCCAGAAGGCAATGTGGGCATAGACAGAAGGGACAACGACAACGACAACAATGAAGAACAGACGAGTAACTGAGTAAATCATAATGGGTGAGCTGCTCGTGTTGGTTTCTCAACGGAGGCACCAGGCATTATATAGTGCTCCATATAAACAGCTCACGATGGTCCTACTAAAGAGAATCAACTTTAGAGATACACCATTGCGTCAATGGCGAGCGCACTCACTCACGAAGATTGCACCTAGAAGGGCGTCCGCCCTGAGTTGCATACTTCCGGTGCGTGCTGGTCGACTATGTCCGAAGACAGGACAGCGGAAGGTAATCAACAACATCCCCTTCTGGAAGATCTGCACCGTGAGGGGTAAGCCGTACATATGCTTCTGACACAAGATTCTCAATACACGGACAAGTTAGGTATCAGTACTTCGCCTCCGAAGACAAACAGGAGTTGCCTAACTCCATTACATTGGCCGGCAAGTCGTTCAGGTCATAGAAGTCTCCAAGTTCAGGGTAACTTACAATTCGTTTCAGGCCTTGGGCCCATTTGGCATAAAGGCTCGTCATTATGGGGTAGAACGCCTTTCGACGGCTTTGAGTTGACCGTAATTTGCCGCATGACCGTAACAGTCTCTTAACATGCCTTGTAAGGTACCAGGTCGCCAAGCTTATATCCTAACAGCATCGTATATTGTCCAGGAATACTGACAAGGAACTGCGTAATGCACGTCAAACAAGGCTGTGGTTATAATGATGTCTGCTTTGAGCTTACCTTCAACAATGAACTAGCGAAGCATGACATTGGAATGTGGACGTTAACAAGTTACTTGCCCATCCGAAATCTCTCGCGACACTGGCAAAATCATTCACATCAGCTCGGAGTATGTCTACACCCGCAATCATTCGGATATAACTGC